TGCACAGTCTCAACACATTGCATTCTTCCTTTTCCCCGTCAGAGCAGCTGGCCAAGAGTGTATGTTACACAGTACTTTGAGAAGTATGAGCTGTGATAAAGAAATTGCAAGTCATTTTGTAGATGTATTTCCTTCACGAAGCCCCAAGGGCAAAGATAGGACAGTGTACAACATAGGAGCCCAAGGGTGATGGGGTCAAAGTAAGGTGCCAAGAAGTGTGTGCATGTGTGTGAGCACCCACTGGGTGTGGGGGCTGTTGGTCAATCCCTAGCCTACACACAGGGAAATGGCCATCCAGAGACCATCTGCTCTTGAAAGATTTATTGGCCTGGTGAAGATGGGAAGGGAGCAACATCTGGGATGAAGCAAGGGTGTGGTGTATACAGCAAAGGCACCTGTGTTGCCACACCCACCCTCCTGTCCTGAGCTCCCCTAAACCTGGCTGGCCTGGTACACGTGAGTAGGGGGCTCCATTACCAATTGGAGACCTAGAAAGGCTGCAACAGGTGCCATGGAGCCTGCATTTACTTCCTTGTATCCAGTGGATTCATTCATGGAGGGAGAGAGAAGGAAAAGGGAGAGATGTCTGGGGAAAATCAGAAGGATTTTGTCTCCCCTTTGCAGCCATCTACTCTGGATGTGGTTTCTGTGGGAAGTGTGGGAACCTGAGGACCTACAGGAAGAGAGGCTATTGTTTGAGAGTGCCTGGGAGAAGGAATTCTCTATCCAGTGTAGGTTGTACTCTCCAGGCCAGGGATATAAGATAGACAATGAGCACTGGGCCAGGTCATCCTCAAGTCTGTTAACTTCTCACCCCTGAGTTGGACAGCAGCATCTGCACAGGGCTGGAGGAAAGCAGAGAGAACAAGAAAATGGAAGAGGAAACCCTGGGCTGATTAAGACAGCGCAGTAACCCCTCATGCAGTAAAGCACGACTAACCGAGCACTTACACGTGATTGTCTCAGTTGAGTCAGGAATTGTTGTCGCTGAAACCTAACGTACAAGTCCCCTTAGCTAGCACCATGGCAGATCCGGGGATTGAAATTGGGTTTGTGCCTTCATGTTAGCTCCAAAGGACCCTAGAATCTCACGGGCTGTGCTCAGAGGGATGAGAAAGGAAGCTGAGAGGGCCTCAGGTTAACCAAGAACATCCAATAACCACTTGCCAGAGAATTCCATAGTTGTGGTTGGGAAGAGTGTGTCTTGGAGGAATAACCTGCTAGGCTTCTCAGCTGACTCTAAGGCTTGATCAGGACAGAGTCAGGTAAGTAGCTTAAACAGAAGGAAGGAAAGAAAGCATTGCTGATAAGAGAGTGAATCCTTAAGATTCACTAAACAGAAGTTCTGTCTTGGAAACCTGGCTTTGCTCAGACTGAAGGCAGACACACCACTCAGTGTTTTCAGCTGAGGCCTGGCCTTGCACAAGCCCCTGTTCCCTGGGGCCCAATTGGCCATAATTGCCTCCTCCTCCAGCCTAGGGACAACAAAGAAGAGGTGCAAGCAAAATCCAGGTGTGGCCAGTCCTTCCCCAGGTGGCTCCTGCCTGGCTGCCAATCCAGGGCGGGGGTGCAGACTGGGAGGGTGGGCATGGTGGCCCAGCCTCTCCCTGTCATTGTGACATCATTGCTATTACCTGGTCAAAGGATCCCTTTCCTTGCACATTTCTCATCTTTTCCTCATTAGCCTTCAAAAAACAAGTGGGCCTGGTTCAGAGGAATAAACGATCCTTGACCCCATGTCAGGGTTTTCTGATCCCCTGAGTGATCTCAGAGGTGCCAAGGGGCTCGCGGTTTGCCCTTCTCTCCAGCTCAATTTCTCTGTCCTGTGTTGGCCTTGCCCACCCTGCTGTAGGGACATGCTACCTCAGCCCTTCCAACAATCTCTACCTCCTTTCATTCTCCCTCACCCTCAATTCCAATCCCTTAGACCTTATCTTGCATTTCTGCAGGTACAAAACAGGGGGCGGGACACTGACCTCTGGCCCTCTTTCCCAAGGCTATAAGCAGAGGCATTTCTCAGGTGCAACTTGACCGTTCTGACCACAATCGCAAACCTTGTCAATGCATACTTTGCAAACACCTGTAAGGGAACCTGTTGCTAAAGTTCTCTGGAACCTTTGAGAACAAAACCCTCCCCTGTCTCTGACTGCTGAATAAACTGAAGTGACGGGCACATGGTAACCAGCTGGGGATGCCTGGAACATGTCTAAGGCAGGGAGAGCAGTGTTTCTTTTACTCCCATGAAGGATCTGGGTAACTGCCTGCAGAGACTAGAGCTGTCATCTAGTTGAAGCCCTGGGCCCACGATGTGTTGACCAATAGATGCCTGCAGCACCATGATGAAGGGGTGCGTGTTCTCCTTCCTCCCATTTGGGCTTCTGCAAGGAGGTGTGGAACCTTGCAGATCTCTTCTAACAGAGGGTACTGCACACGCTCCAGCAAATTCAGTAAGCTCTGTCCCATGGATTTACTGCTGGCAGGTATTCTCCTTCTCTCTTTCCTCACCTTCTCATGCTCCACTCTCCTGTGCACCTCTAAATATATTTCAGATGACAAAAAATTATTAGCAATTTAATTTGCATTAGTTTTTAGCCTTTCTATACGTAAAGATTATGTGTTCATTTTTAATTATTACAACTCTGGTCAAAAGCAGCTTTTTTGTTTTGTTTTGTTTTTATCACCTTTAGGACATGGAAAAAAATAGTGAAGCATGTGTGGCCAGGAGTAGAACTTAGACTGAAAACAGGTCAATCATTCATAGAATCTGTTAATGAGTATTTGCCTCACAATAGATTGTACCAGGAACTCTGCCAGCTACTGGGAATACAATGGTGAGTAAAATGGACACTATCTTTGTTTTTGTGGACCTTATTTACACTAGGGAAAATGGACAATTAAATAAATAAATGTAGTTAATACAGACAGTCTGGAAACAGAGCAGGTGATCTATAATCTAGCTCTATGATCAAGATCAACTCTAGAGTACCCACACATGCACATTCACACATAATAAATATCAAATCTTTAAGCTGAGGCCAATAGGGTGGATAAAATGTTAAAAAGCTAGAAGGAAGAATGGAAGATGTGGAAAGGTCCAGGAAAAGACTATTTTGGAGGCTGTGGCATAGTGTGTAAAGCTGCTGTCTGCCATGCTGGCAGCCCATATAGTTGCCAATTTGAGTACCAACTGCTCCACTTCTAATCCAGGTCACTGCTAATGTACCTTGGAAAGCTGTCAAACTGACAAAGATGGCACTTGAGTACTCCTGAACCCATATAGGAAATCAGAAAGAACCTCCTGGCTCATGGCATCTGCCTGGCCCAGCCCTGGGCATAGCAGCCACTTAGGGAGTTAACCAGTGGAAGTAATATCCTCCCTCTCCTTTCTTATCATTTCATCTAACCCTGCCTTTCAAATAAATTTTTTAAAAATAGATGACTTTGATAGAAAAGCTTACATTTCTGTTAAGCCAAAGCAGCTTATTTTTCAAAGGAGCTGATTTAGAGCAAGATATGACCAGACTTAAGATATACCAGTTACGGCTGTTGTGACAGAAGTGTTGGGGATGACACCTAGAATCCTGGTGTCGGCGACTTTATGACGCTGCCATGGACTTGGTCGACAGCACCGGTGGAGCAGGTTTGGTGAGAGAAGTTTCAGAACATGTTGAGTTTGAACCGTCTATAAAATATCCACGTAATTTGGGTCAATAGATTGGCGTTCAAGCTGCAGACGCCTGGAGCTCAGAAGACAGATCACAACAGAAGATAAGGAGCTTTGAATTGTGAGCTAACGTATGATAAAACATGGAAGCGAGTGGAACTACTCAGGTGGTAAGGAGAACAGAGAATCTTCTAGATCAAAACAAACAAAAAAAATGAGGGGATCGGTGAAGAAATGTTGAGAAGTGAAAAAGACTGTTCAGTGGATTTAACTGCAGATAGATAACCTTGACAACAGTTGCAGCACTAGCATGGAGGAGTGTTGGGGGCACTGACAACGTCCTGCCCTGTGATTGGTCCTTTGCCCTGATTGGCGTGCCTTCTGTGTGCCTTGGCGATCTTTAAGCTGACTGGATAGGATTGATATATAAGCCAGGGGCTTTGGGAAGGGGGGGCTTCTGTGTAACGGAATTAACGGATGTAACGGTTTTAACGGAAGGTTGGAACAAAGCGCCTCTGAGATGCTATCCAGTGTCGGGTGATTTCTTCCGCAGGACGGGAGACCCCAATAGGGGAGAAATGTCACAGCAAAATGGCTCGAGGAAGCAACAGCCAGAAGGCAATGGAGCCCATCGTTTGGAAGTATGATCTCAAATTGGATGTGGAAAGGGGAATGAAACACAGTAGAGCTGAGGCAAAGTATTTGCAAATTCTTTGAAAGATGTGAAAAGAGTATGTTCATGTGCTAACAGAGAAAGAAACAGATCAGAGATACACAAGTGATAAGGGTCAGAGGAGACAGTGCAGAGAACTCAGTCTGGAACACAGATGAGCATGTATCTGGACCTGAGTGTACAAGTACGTCCGCTGCGGAAGAGGAGGACTCCGCCCTTTAAGACAGTGCCACCAAATGTGCATCTACCAGTGGTGTAAACATCATATTTCTGTGTATTCTGCCACGATAACATAAAATGCAAAGAAAGCCAGTTTTCTGTAGATTTTGCAGTTGACTGTTGGTTGCTAGAGTGGAGAAAGTCTTACAAGATAGCAGAAAGGAAGGAAAGGCCATGCCTAACTCGTCTCAGGGAGCCCTGGGGAACCAGACAGATGTCCAGCTTGCTACTTTCTAGTGCCTGCATAGGGCAGAAAGAGACCATCCAGACATTCATCTAGCACCCCACTTCATGTCTTTAGTTTTTTTTTTTTTCCAAAAAATGTGAAACTTTCAAAGGTGCGGAAGGTGTGTGGATGATAGACAAACATGCCCATCCCCAGAAACGCTGATGTGAAGGGCTCGGTGGCCCCTGAGAAGTATCAACAAGCATGTAAATGAGATCTTTTCAAAGGCAGATCTTCTGCGCCTCACCTCCAGTCTGGTAGGAGTCAGGTCAAGAGTATCAGGGATCCCAATTAGAAATGGTAGACCTCCTCTCCATCCCCTTCATTAAGATCCAGTCCAAGATTTAAGTGTCCCAAGGTGTTTCGGCGAAGAATCTCCCAGCCCCGGTGACTGTTGCTGCTCTGGGATGTGGTCCGAGAGAGGGAGGGAGTTTGGAAGGCTGTAGAGGCTCTGCCTAGAATCCAGCTCTCAGCCATAGAAGGCCGCTTTGCAGGAAGTTGTTCTTGTCCATCCTCCTTGTCTGAAGGCTTGAATGCTTCTACATAGCGAAGAACTCGCAGAGGATTCTGGTCATTGTAGCTCTCAACCCTGTGGAAGGGGAGAAAGAAAGGACTCAGTTTAGGATGGTAGAGATAGACACAGGGAGAAATAGAGGTCAACATGGAGAATAAGGATCTAAAGGGAAGATGAAAGAGGGGCCAGTATTGTAGGACGAACAGCATCTAGGATCAGGTGAGGATGAAGAGATTGGAGTGGTAGCTAAATTGACGAAGAGATTATAGATGTCAAGCAATCAGTATTTGGAAGGTAGTATGACGTGTGTGTGTGTGTGTGTGTGTGTGTTGTTGTTGCTGGCAGATGAGAATGTGAAGGAAAAAGAGAGGCAATGAAGAGATAAGCATGTCACAAGAGTGAGGATATGCAATTCAGGGAAAAAGTGAGAAGAGAGAACAGCCAGGATATGAAATGAGAGTGGAGTATGAAAGAAATTAAAGTCAACACAGAGTATATTGTAAATGGCAGTCATTTGGAAATAAGGTCCATATAGGCTGAGCAACCCAGAATGACACCTGAGCATGGTCACAGAGACCTGCTTTTCCAGCACAGCTCCTCTGAAGTACACACAGCCCTGCATCTGCTGTCAGCATTCTCTTTATCTCTCCACTTCAGCTCCACTCCTCCCCTAAAAAGGTTCTTAGGATGTCTGCTCACAGCTGTGGCTCCCCTGGCTCTCACCCAGCTGCAGTTAACACACATGCTCTGTTGATCACTCACCGCAGGAACCAGCAGTCTCCTAGGCCATACTCGTATCCACAGACCCCAGAGCGAGGCCACAGGAAGCGAGGCATCTTCCTCTCCAACATCACCGTGGTGGCCACCACCTGAAATGAGGTAAGAGAGGAAGAGCTCAGAAAGAGCCTTAAATTTCAGATACTGAAGCCACCAAGAGAACAGAAAGCTGATTGCTGGTGAAATGAACATACCAGAGACCAGTAGAGAGGGGAGCATTTATCTAGCCCTAGCCTGTGCCTGCCCCAAGCATGTGCATTAGCAAAGGAAAAAGGATATTTCATGCATATTTTAAAATAATTACCCCTACATTAAATTTACATTTGTGGAAATTGAGTCATTCCAAACTAGTCTAAATTCCTTTTTTCATAGGAAAGCCATGTTCCAATGATTTTGTTTTACATAAAATGCTGAAGAACCTCTATGGATTCAAGGATGCTGCTCCAGTTCATGGAGTTTGCATCAAACTAAATATCCATATCTTAAGAAAGAAAGGGTTAACTAATGACTGTGTAGTTGGTAGAGGAGTTTCTAGCAATAGGTCCTATGTTCTGTTCTTTGCCCAGCCCTCATTAACTCTTAGGTGAAGTACACAAGACAAGCTTATCACACAAAACATATGACACAAAACTGGGAGGGATATGTAATATGTGCAGTGACAAAAGCAATATAAGATTATCTCACCAAACTGGAATGCTCATCTAAGCCTAACAACATGAAATTTAAGGAAATCAAACTTGAGGTCCCACATTTGCATTTAAAAAGACAAATTAAGGAAGTCATGTCTCCAACATGCTAAGATTCTGGAGGATAATAAGCTTAACAAGAGCCAGTTGTATGTTTTCTAAAAGATGTGACTCAGTTTTAGACACTGTTAGTTATAGCATTACATTCACAGTAAGGAAAAGTATGACCCCTGTTAGTACTATATTACTCCAATCACATCAGGAACCATTGTAGTTTTGAAAGCTATGTCTATGGGTAGATGATGTTGTAATCAGGATAAGTTGGGGATAGCAAAACTTATTGATTAAATAATAATACAGTAATTATTTTTTCTAAGATTTATTTTTATTAGAAAGGCAGATTTACTGAGAGGAAGAGACAGAAAAAAATCTTCCATCTGCTGGTTTATTCCCCAGCTGAGCCAATCCGAAGCCAGGATCCTTTTCTGGGTCTCCCATGCAGGTGCATGGAGGACCATGCTTTCCCAGACCACAAGCAGGGAACTAGATGGGAAGTGGAGTAATCAGGATAAGAGCTGGCACCCAATGGGATCCTTGTGCATGCACCGAGCCATTGTGCCAGGCCCACATAATCATTTCCAAAATGGCCAGTCTTCTTCACCATGTTCTCCACTTCCTGTCTTCTCCAATACTCCATGCTTGTCTTTGTTTCATGGCTGCATGCAATTCCCTTCTACATCAAGACTTCCAATAATTCTATTTCCCTTTTCTGAATAGTGTTCTGTCTCTCTTTCCTTTGAAAACAAAATTTGTTGTTCTTTTTGTGCTATAATTAAGGTCCCCTTTCTTATTTTTAGACTTACCCCATCACCACTGGTTAGAGTAGGTTGGCTGTACATCATGGTCATTAATTTATTCTTTGCTGACCTTCTACTTCACCACAAACAACATCCTCTATCACTATCCAGTTCTTGACCTTGCCTTAGCATCAAAGATGAGCCTTTGACCCCAACTTGTTGCAAGGAGATGGAACTCAGACTGAATATTCAGGAAGAAAGATGCTCTCTTAAACTCTGTAGTGGTGTCCAGCATCAGCAGAGGAACAGGATGGAACATGAATTGAGCCCTTCTAATTGTGTGATACAGTTCACCTGCTCAACCTTTTGGGAATTTGGAAATTATGACAGCCATCTCAATCACACGTAAACAATCATGCCTTAAAAAAGAGTCCAAAGAAGAGCAAAATAGAGGAACTTACAAAATATGTGAGAAAAACACTTGGGATCTGGCCATGTTTCCCTAAAGCTAGTTTAAGTCTCCAAATTTTTCACTTAGGAGAATCAGTACATTTCTCTGCCCACCAAAGTGTTTGAGTTTGGTTTTCTGTCCTTGTAGCCTAATTGATACAACCCCTGACCTCCTCCTTTGATTCCCTCCAATCCTTTTAACTGACTAATTATTATTCACAGTTAAGTTTTCTTCTTTTAAATATTTCACAATTATTTAGTTATCTTTATTTATTTGAAAGACATACAGGCAATGAGAGAAAGAGAGAAAATCTCCCATCTTCTGTTTTACTCTCCAGATGCCGTCAACAGCTGTGGTTGGGTCAGGCTGACGTCAGAAAACTGAAATTCCATCCAGCTCTCTGACGTGACTGACAGAGACCCAAGCACTTGAACCACTATCTGCTGCATCAGAGTGTGCATTAGCAAAATGGCGGAATCAGAAGCATAGCTAGGATTCAGCCCAGGCTCAGAACCAGGGACTCAAACTGTGTTATGGAATGCAAGTATCGCTAGAATCACATTAACCACTGTATCAAACACTTTTCTAATAGGATCTCATCTTAAATGTCATTTGCTCAAGAAAGTAGTTCCTAACTTTCTAGTCAGATTCCTTTGTTGAACTTGCACTTCTGCATTACAGTTGAATTATTTAAATCTTACATATTTCTGAGGAGTCATTTGTTTAAAGTTTGTCTTTTCAACTAGACTGTCAGTTCCATGAGGACACCGATTGTATCTGTTATGTGTGTGCTGTAGCCATAGCTCCTAGAACATTTCCCAACACATCAGAATCTCTAATAGTTATTGCTAAACAAAAGTTCAAGGGGACAAGTAATGACTATATTCAAATGTTTGAGTATAGCTCACATGAAAGTATGTGTTTTGTGTTTTATGAGAGGGAAAATTGGGGCCAAAGAATGAAATTACAGGAAGACTGTGTGTTGACTCAATGTAACACCAACATTCAAAAGAGGGAAAACCCCTCTTTCAATCCCTTATCTAAATCTGCAATGCTATAATGTATTGCCAGCATTACAGTAGCTGTTGAAGGACACTCTCACCAATGGGTGATTATTATGCTGAACACAGGGGTAGCTAGAGGATCACTAATGGGTAATTTCCAATCCTAATATTTTATTAGCTATGATAATACAAAAACAGATGACAGAGGAACGTTTGTAGAGACCAATAAAAGATCAGCCCAAAAGTAAAACCAGAATATACAACAGCTCCCAATAGACTCAAGCATGACTCCTGGGAGCCCCATTTTATTTTGCTTTTGTCCCTCCATAAAAAGTAGCTCCACCATAGGTAGCTCAGATTCACAGGAAAGTCTGTTAAGGTGGTGGTCCCACTGAGTTCTTCTGTGGCTCTTCTAACAGTGATCCACCATAACATACCCCACTTTGAGTTTTCTTTCTGTTCCCTTCCCCTCAGCAAGTCTTACACTAAAAAACTCACCTGGGCCCTCCAGAGTTCATCCCGTTCTTGGGCCACTCGCCAATGTGTGTCCCCCATCATAGCAATCAACAGGTTGACCATGAGCAGCGTGGCAATGATGGCGAAGGCGGCATAGGTGATGCAGTACATGAAGGGCAGATCCACGTCATAGTTGGCAGGGCCATCAATGATGGTGAGGAACAGTTCAAAGGTGCTGAACAGTGCCGTGGGATAGTCAGAGAATTCCCCCAGATTGCTAGGGTCCTCTGTCTGGAAAATGATATGGAATGCTGCTCCCCGCCAGGAAGAAGGCATAGAGATGGGGATATTGAATTATCACAGTAAGTATGAGCTTGAGCCTGGTTAACACTCATTCAACCTGTGATTTCTTTACCTCCACACTTACACATGTATGCACAAACATTTATCAATATATGTGATCAACTGTAAAATTCACTAGCCCTAAGATGCCCTCTGAGGAAGTTTAGGAGGGCACATATCACTCTGGATAGCAATCATATTCAACCATTTATATAAAAAAAATTCTCTGTGGATGTACAGTAAGTAACCGAACTGGCTTTTACAATTAGAAAACCAAATATCTAACAGACAAGTTGTAACAAGAATGCATGGAATTTCCATCAATTCTAAAAACAGAGACTAGAAAGAACACCCCCTTTTTTTTTTTTTTATCTTGATGGCCTCTGGATATCCATCTATCACGCTGAGATTCCCGAATCATCACAGAGAGCTATCCCTGCCCAGTGTATAGTTTATGGAATGGTAGCGAGAAGAGTAGCACTTTATGATGGTCATAGACTCATTAAAAGGATTCACCATGTATGAGGAACTGAAACATAAGGTGGATTCCCCAAGAAGGAATTGTCCATGGCAATCATTGCTTCCTTATTTAAGGGAAAACCAAAGCAAACACAATGGCCAATACACAATAGTTTAGGGCATTTGAGGTAATAGGTGTCTAAAGAAGCTATTGTGTTAATACCCGTTCTGTAGTCTGTGTGTCTGCAGATAGAGAAGGGTTAGGGTATAAACAGAAAGAGCATGTGAAGGCTCAGGAGAGTGAAACACGAGTTAGGTATTTTTCTCATCTACTGTTTTAAGGGACTCTCACATCCCACACCCCATAAAATAGAGTGATTCCTAAGGACAGTAATAGAGTCCTCTGAACCCAGTCACAGTTCTTTGAAATTGTTGAGGGTGTTCTTCAAAGCCCTGCAGTATCTCTTCTTGTCTGACAGACAATCTTTGGCAAACATTGAGAAGTGAAGTCAAGTTGTTGCCTTTTACTCCTCAGACCTGGCCTTCCTCTTTATCCTCTCCATTCGAAATCTCTTCTCATTTCCATGCCCTCCTTCTGGCTCTTTCTCTACCTGTTTTCTCTCCCTGTGTTCTCCCTTTTTAACTCCTTTGTACACTCACTCCATGTTGGGCACGGACTAAATTCCTTCTTGTCTCAGTTCTTCCAATCTCTCTCGACAAGACTTCTTTTTCTGCTGTTTGTTATAAAAATTATTTCCTTCTTTCTTAACTTTAAATGCCACATATGAAAAAGGATCATTACTGTCTTACTGAAGTCATATTTTTTTCCTTCTGAATTACAAACACAGAAAAGTTAGTAATACATCGCATTGTATATTTGTGTCCCCACATAGTATTTGAGATCTACAACTGCCTACTCTTACCTATTTGATGTCTCTTCCAAAGATAAGGTCTCACAGATCTGTTAGTCAACGTTAATGTCATTGGCCAAGAATACATGGCTCTACTTTCCAGGTCAATGCATGTGGACCTGACTCTACAGATATGGGGTATAGGTGGGTGCCTCAGACTCACTTATCAATAGGAAAATAAGCACACATATGACAAAATGGAATGAAAATAAGAACAGAGTAAGAGTGAGAGAGAACTTTCTGGAGAACTAAATCCAATGGTCTAATGATGATGGAAGTAATGTTCTTACCTGTTGCAAACCCCAAGATGACAACAGCCATTAGCCAGCAGAAACGCAGTAAGTCTCCAAAAACCATCTGTAGAAAACAAAAGAGAGCAAGAGGGATGGAAGTCACTCTTTCCCTACTGTCTTTGAGTAGCTACCACTACAGATCAGGAGGTTCCCTGCTTCCACTGGCTTTGTTCTTTTTCCTTCCCTCTGGGAAAGTCTTATGGCTAAGCCAGAGGAAGGTGTGGATGACACTGACCTTCTGGATCATGATAGTGAAGGGGCCCAGCATCTGGAATCCTCGAGCAAAGTACATGACACTGCACCAACCCAGCACCAGGGCCAAGGATAAGGGTACCACCTCCCCATTCATGTTGGTGAGCCGCATCGCCATGGTCAGTAATATAAGGGAGGCATAGGTGATGCTGAGGGGAGAGGAAGGATTGAGAACTGGGTTAGGAATATTGCAGGTCCCCCACATACTCTAGCTTAGTATTAACACTAAAACACATGTAGTCATTCACATATAGTCATTCATACAAGTCCACTAGAGAGAAATCCCTTGCATGGGGGGTGGTCACCTAGGAACTAATCCCAGAGACATTAACTGAAGACACAGAGCAATTCTAATGAGTGAAGGCCAAATATTAGGAGGAGATACTCACATGATGACATGGAAGGGCCCCCCAAGAATTGTCTGTCCAAAATATCGAGAGGCACCAACCCTGAAAATATCTGGGATCTGGGAAGATCAAGTAAAACAGAAAGGCAATGTAGGCTACAATGTCGGACCTCAGACAGATACCCTTAGCCTAGATTCCGCCTGCACCTCACCTCTAGGAGTAGAATGATCACAGCTCCAGTAACAGTCACCAGCTCTCCCACGAGCCGAATGTTATCTTGGTGAGTCACATAGGCCTCCTATGGGGAGAAATCCAGGATAAGAATTTTGTTGGGTAGAAAGTCAAATCCTCTGGGGCAAATGGTCTAAAAAGGCCAGGGTCATGCAAGATGAAGAAAAGACCCCCGCACTGCAGCATCACCATGATTTGCAATGTATTTTCCATTATAGCTAACTGTGTGACCAAGACATGAATCTAACTATGAAAAATTTGATTTGTGTTAATATGCCAATGACTTGAGAGCCATCTAGCAGTGTTGTGTTTTTGTTAGCAGCAGTTTGTGAATTACATACTGAGCTGCTGGGGACACATTCAGAATATCACATCAAGAAGGCAAAACCAGTAGAAATAGACTTTAGTGCCTTGGGATGGCTTTACCTATGTCCAAAACTCTGCTTTTCTAATCTCACTGTGGCTACCAATGAGTAGAACACAGAATTAGCATATCAAAAAAATCGAGGTTCCATGATGGGCCCAGCATCAGTTAGCTCAGTTAGACCTTGTCAAACGTGTTATCAAAGATCTCTGAACTTGAGCTTTTTGCATTATAATACAGAGATACCAATTCCTAGCTTCTGGTGCTATGATAAAGGCCACTTTACACAATGTATTTGAATGAATTTCATAAGCTAAAAAGCTCCATAAATATGTTAACAGTAGCTTTACTATGATTTGGTAATAAGAATAGGGCAGATGGACCCTGAGTTGGCAAGCACACCCAAGAATCTGGTGTGGGATCACTTCAGATGAAGTTTCTTTGGAATACCCACCAACTGAACTGCTAACCCTGGACCCCAACCATAGAGAATTGCAGGTTCTATGGTCTGACATGGAGTCCTCAGTAACTCAGATAGAGCAATGAACAGCATATTCAGGTGCACATGGAGGACATGGTAGTACATCGGAGCCTGCACAGGATACCCGGAACCACAACAGAGGACAGAACAAATTGATCAACTACCCCAGCCAAGTGTTGGCAGTGAAAATCTGGGCAAGTGGAGACACTAAGGTGGACTATGTCAGCCCGTGGATTCTGAAGTGATTTCATCATGCTTGGAATGGCAAGATTGACAGCAATTCAGAACAGTTGAACTATTGAAATCACTTGAGTAGTGCCCTCAGAGCATGCCCCACACTGGGGACCCTGGGATGATTGGGAGGGCGAGTGTGACTTCTCTCTTTGTCCCTCTCCTTCCCCCAGGTATAGGAAAGGAAAAAAAGAATGTGGAAGCAATGGTCTTAACTACTTTCCTGTAGCCCTTGACCCTTTGGCCTTAATCCACTATGTAAAGATCATCAAAATAAAAATAAAAATTCAAACAAAAGAATAGTGCAGAAATGGGGCAAGAGACACTATAAGGTTTTGATTCTGAGGAAGCGTGTCTGTCGTGAGTAACAGCTATAGAAAACATAGTGCCAGATCAAGGTAACATGAGAGCCAACCAATTTTGATGAAACTTCAACAATATTATCTAGTTGTAATGATAGGATTCAATGTCAATAGCCCTTACCTTTAAAAATTGCTGATCTCATCTGAGAATATAATTAATTTTGCAGACTTTCTGAAAAACTATGTTCTTATATAGACAATTCCCACTATGAAATTATATAAATAAATTCCACACATTCATGCCACTTTTAAATTGCTTCAGTGTTCTTTTGTTGTCTTCAGCTCTAAAAATGGTATTTGAATTCCCTGTTTCCTGAAACTTGGTTCATGTAACGTGCTGTTTTTCTTTATTTTAATGTTCTTATAGAGTCTGGCTCTTATTATAAAACATGCCATTCCTATTGAGAGTGCTATAGTTCAGCTATGGCTTGAATGTCCCCAGGTGTTCATTTGCTGAAACTTAATCCCTATTTTGAGTTCTTCAGAAGATGACGTTTAATACAACTCTGATACTTAGAGGTTGGACCTTTGCAAGGTTATTAGAATCACTGGAGTGGAGCTTCAGGGTGGAGTCTTGGAAGAAAGGAAGAGACTACAGGAGACACACATGTGCACTGGCTGTTCTTCACCATGTGACATGGCCACCCACCACCTTTAGACTCTGCCAACAGCACCATGTGGTATCCTGATGACCTCTGGACTCTGCCAGCAGGAAGTCCAGCATCAGATGAAGTTTTCAACCTGATACTAATAAACCTCCTCTCTTTACGAAGTTTTCAAGCCATAGGAATTTCATGAAGTAATAAAAACGGATCAATATGGGTGGTAAGTAGAGACAAAATAACCTTAAATATGGAAAAAATATAACTACATTTGGAATTCTTAAATATTCTTACATGTAGCTACTTTTTGAATTCTTAACTTTTTTAAAAAAAACTTTGTGTCTGAAAAAAAATGCTGCCAATCTTTTTTAAGAAGAAAAGGCACTGTGCACAGGTCGGGCTGGGAGGGCTACGAAGATCAGAGTGCCCCTAGAGGCCTACAGAGTCGTGGCACCAACTGTTCCTCTAACTGAAGATGTGAAACCGCAACTGTGTTGTAAGAGAAACCACTGGAAAGAGTTTAGTCATTAAACTCCCTGTTTAACTCCCCATCTTCAGCATCTCTTTGCTTATTCAAGGGATTCCTTCACACGCAGACACTGGTCTGTACAAATCCATCAGTCAGTGACTGCGTTTCCCCTCAAGTCCCAAGCTTTTGTTTCACCTGTGGTATGACTGCCTTAGAGCAGCTTTCTCCACCACTCTGTCTACAGAAATCCCACCTCAAGCTAGGCTGCCAGGGGCCTTAGAGCCTTCTTCTTAGAGCCACCAAAACTTGCTAGAGTCTTTCTATAGGGTTTTCTTTTGTTTTTACTGCTCTAAAAAACAAAAAGCAAAATATGTATGTGAAAGTTGCAGTAAAAGTAATGATAGTACTTTTACTATGTAATGATAATGAGCTTTTAAACTACTGCTTTTCACTTTAAATGAAATTACTGTGCTTCATGTTGATGTGAAATGCTAGACACCCTTTGTGAGGTTAAGAAATAATTTAATCCTTGTAAATGAGAAAGTATTACTGAATTTTCATAGTTGACTTTTTGATGTCTATGGAAATGATCAACATTCTCTTTTACTTAATTCTCCCTGAATTAAACGCTAATGATTTTTTTAATCTTAAGATTTTATTCTTAAGACATTTTCTGTCAATAGGGAAAGGGTACTCTACAGTTCTCTAGATTTGTGGTTTTGATGAAAAGGTTTGGGGATCAAGGTCATGTTTGGTAAGTTATTAGAGGCACTCAAGTTCATTTCCCCCAGCCTCCCAATTACCTGTGTAATGCTCATCTACCAGCACTGTTGACTGAAGGGAAAGCCAAGGCATCTATCATCTTGTTTACTCTGCAATCAGTTTCCCCTTCATCAGTGCTACTCCCCTTCTCCCTGCTTCTCCTACTTCTGGACTGATATTTCTAAATGTCAATTTTATCACATGGCTTTTCTGCTTGATAACATTCCTAATTGCTTGCAGCCATCAGAATACAAATGTAGGTGGCAATGGAAGTGTTCTCTAAATCAGCATAGAAATTCACTAGACAGTATCTTCATTTGATGAGCAAGTGGGGAGAGAAGCATTCTAGCCAGGTAGAAGTGACAAGAGGAATGAAGAGCTAATAAAGGTAAAAAGTGATCGTCCCAGGGAAATGAGACTTGGGTAGTGAGAGGAAGCAGTCCAGGATATGGCTGCTCTTCGTTAGAACCATCACTGAGTTCTGAAATTGTGTGTGTGCATTCTTTTATGTAGAAATGCTTGCTGTTGGACAAGAATAAAAAAAAATAATAAAATGCAGGTTACCAAATTTGAGCTACAAAATCCAAGTGTTCTAGCCCTGGCCTTATGTACTTAAGCTTCATGTAAGTTTCAACACAGCTGTTGGGGCTATGGATTCTTAAATCAGGCTTCCCTACAGTTTCTGCCTTTTCCTTGACTTAATTTATTTGATAGGCAGAATAAAAGGTTGACATAGGAAGGTGGGAGCAGGTAGGCAAAGTTGCCATAGGTTGATGGAGTCTTCAAATGTCCACAACATTCAAGGCTAGAGACAGGAAATTCAATCCAGGTCTCCCTTGTGGCTGGCAGGAACAGCAATCCAGAAACCATTTCTGCTGATGGCTTCACAGGATGGCTACACTGATGGGAAGCTGGAGTCAGAAGCTGGAGCTGAGTGTCCAGGTTCTCCGACCCAAGAGATTCAGGCATCTTACTTACTGTGCCTTATAAATGCCCTTTCCTTAGACTACCCTTTTCGCTCCTGTCTCACTCTCTCTTGGTGTCTCCACACTCAGGTCAGCCCCACACTGCTCCTGGGTCTCCATTCCTACGCTTCTGTACCCCAGTCAGACATTGTCTCTCCTGGTGCTGCTGAGTCTGCAGCCCTCACCCAGCACACCGAAGGTGTCTGGGTACCGTATATCCACCCACAGTTGTCTTCTGAGTATAGACACATTTTTTTCCCAACTTTTGATCCATAATGCATGACACTGTGGTAAAAACTCAGTAAGAAAAGGGGGAAGACTACAGGTGCAGCTGAATGTTATCCGCTAGTTACAGGAAGGAGATAAAGTCAAGAAGTGGAAGTGGGGAAATCTCTTGGGAGGCAAAAGGTGAAAAATATGACAACTAATTGGGATTTTCTGGTATTTCCAGATTCCTAACGCAAACTCACCTAAGTTGCGGGGCTAAAAATGCACTGAGAAAACACTCCACTCTACCCTCTTTAAAAATAAACACCTTTCAACAATGACTGGAATTTTTGACATTGCCTAGAATTTTGGGAGTTGTCAACAACAAAATCTCCTGCAGACTCATGCTTCATAGAAAACCGGCCTCATTAGATCATTCACTCTTACCAGATGGCTGAACTCATTGCCTTGAAGAAAATGCCCAGAGAGAGTATGTACAGCAGAGCCTGGGACATGGTTGGGTTGAAAAAGCTCCTACTACACCACTCAGGGTAGGGGAGGGAGTACAAGTCACCCTGACATCAAGTGGGAGGGCTCCAGGACCCGTTGTGGGTCCCAATCCAGACCTTTCTTCTTTTTGCTCCCCAAGATCTCTGACTTACAAAGAAATGAAGTCTCAGAAAATGCCCCACTGCTGCTTATGGAAGAGTTACTATGATTCTTTTATCGGACATGGGTACCTCACTGTGGGTGCCCATCAAAATCAATTAGAATTCTTGTTTCCAACACATGTGGCCAGGCCAACCTGGGTTAGTTTGCATCCTTTGTTTTGTTTTCCATAAAGCTCTGAAGATGCTTTTCTTGTAGGTACTCCCAAGACAAAAGCGGTTGAACCATAATGAGAGGCAGAGTCCCTGGTTCTGCTGTGGGACCACCTGCCATGAGTCGGTTTCACATCTTGGTCTGCACTTTCCTCAAGATTGCCTTAGGAAATTTCTACTCTCATCAGAGAAATCTTTACCTGTTCCTATAGAAGTAAACCTTACCCTGCATTGCATACGCAAACTATATGAAAAAAATATTAGGGTGAGTTATCAAAACTGCTGATTAGATAATAGCTCAGTAGCTAAGGGTGAGAGTCATTTTATATCTGATCTTGTACTTAGCACTATAATTCTCCTCCTCTTGAAAGGGGCACTTGATTAGGTGTGACCTGATAAAGGTGAGTATAATGGATTCTAGCTAGTTCAACACCCAGAAACATTAATTTATCAAACAATGGATCTCCAGTTCGAAGACTGAGCACCAACACATCACCATGAAGTGAGGAATAGCCTAGCTTTATGTTTAAACCTAGTGGATAGAAGCTGGTTAAGAATGCCTACCTCCCGCACCACAGTACACTACCCAATTGGTTCTTGATTTCATCTTCTTGTCAACATATACTCTAGGAAGCAGTGGTACAATTAGTAGTTAGGACCTTGGAACCCAGCTGAGAGACCTGGATTGTGTTTTCAATTCTCAGTCTTGCCCTAGCCCGCCAATGCCAGCTTTGCTAAAATATCTTTGCCAAAAACTTAATATCTCAGATTCACCACATTTAAAGTGGTGAAGTTTTGATTTATACATTAGTATATGTATGAGGATTAAATGATACATTGCTTTGCTACCAGAAGGTGATCTGCAGAGTTACATTAGCCTTAACTGAAAGCTGGTTGGAAACGCAGTCTCAGAGCCCAATCTTATTGTCAGTGCATTTTAACACTATGCAAAAAGCGGGCCTGGCGCAATGACTCAATTGGATAAGTTTCCCCCATTTACTTTTTTTAAGATTTATTTTATTTTTATTGGAAAGTCAGATAAGAGGAGCAGAGACAGAGAGGAAGATCTTCTGTCTAATGATTCACTCCCCAAGTGCTGCAACAGCCAGAACTGAGCTGATCCAAAGCCAGGAGCCAGGAGCCTCTTCTGGGTCTCTCATGTTGGTGCAGGGTCCCAAGATTTGGGCCATCCTTGACTGCTTTCCCAAGCCACAAGCAGGGAGCTGGATGTGAAGTGGGGCTGCCAGGATTAGAAATAGTGCCCATAGGGGAATCCCAGACGTTCAAGGCAAGGACTTAAACCACTAGGTTACTGTGCTGGATCCTCAGCTTCCCCATTTCAAACACCAGGATCCCATTTGGGTGTGATCCCATGTCCCAACTGCTCCACTTCCCATCCAGCTCCCTGCTTGTGGCCTGGGAAAGCAGAAGAGGATGACCCAGTGCTTTGAGACCCTGCACCCGTGTGGGAGACCAGAAGAAGCTCCTGCTTCTAGCTTCAAATCAGTTCAGCTCCAGCCATTGCGGCCTTTTAGGAAGTGAAGCAGCAGATGGAAGATCTGTTCCCTCTGTCTCTCCTTCTCTCTGCAGATCTGCCTTTCGAATAAAAATTAAAACAATATGCCCTATGTGGTGATAAATGTGTGTGAAGTGCACAAAATAGCCACAATAGATGTGGCCACTCACATGGGAGACCTGAATAGTTTTCTGGCTTTGGCATGGCCTAATGTTAGTTGTTACACAACTTCTAGGGAGTAAACCAGCAAATGAAAACAGTCTGTTTTTTTCTACCTCTCAAGTTTAAAAAGGGCTATAGTATTGTTATAATATAGGGGAAACAGCAGGAGGAAGGGAAGGAGAGGGTGGGAGAGTAAGCCCCTGTACCTAAGGAACTGTATCATGAAAAATAAAATTTTTTTTAAAAAGGAAGTGAGGCAGCTTGGATTCAAGCTCAGATTCAGACATGGGATGCCAAGATCACAGAAGCGGCTTAACTTGACATACCACAGTGCTGGCTTCCTCATGGAATCTATTTTATCTATATCCCTTCCTTAACTTAATGTAATGAGCTTCCCTTTTAAAACATTGCACTCATTTTCATTTGTCAGAGAGTGAAGGAAAATTAAAAGAATCATTTAAGGTATGAATAAATTCTAAGATAACAAAAATGTTTACAAAAATAAAAGTCTTCAAAATATTAAAATAAAATAATAAAGTGGATGACAATCTGTGTGTCCTTACTGGTACTGTCCACTTCCTTATATTCTCATACAATTCATCACATACAATGGTGATTTAACCTTCAGTAAGTCCTCCAATGCCACTCCATTCACTCCACCTTTCTATCACATCCAGAGAGCAATCTACCATCCGCTCGTCCTTGCTCAACTGTAATGGCTTCCCACATCCTTCCTAGCCCCTTCTAATCTGTCCTCACTCATACAAGCAGAATCATTTCTCTAAGCAAAACTCTGGTCAAGTTCCTCCTCTGTTAAAGGGTCTGCTGAGCTTCTCATTAGCCTGAGGATAAAGAATCAAGTCCTCAAGGTCATCAGCAAGGTCCTACCTGATTTTCAAAGGATGACCTGGAGGCACTCCACACATACCCAGGCACTCTGTGCCTGGTTCATACACTGGAAGTCCTTGAATCTTGAGTCATGAACTTTGCTTTAGGGATTTTACACATGTATTTTCACTGCTTAGAACTCCTTTTTTCATCTTGAACCAACCCAGATCTCAGCTACTTCCAGAGAAGTTACCTGTGGCCTCCCAAAGGTACTAGGCCCCTGTGAAAAGCTCTCTTCACTGTCAGTCCTTTTCCTTGCCATAAGAAGAAGCAATACCAATGACAATATCATGGGATATAATGGAAGAGCCTTTCACATGAGCATTCGATGAATGCCAACCAGACAGCGGTCTCAAAAAAGGCAAAGACCATCTTTGGCTTGCTCAGGCCATTGTTATTGAATGTGCGAACACTGTGTAGATGAGACTCTCAATGATTACTTGTTCATTAAATGAATTAGTGAAGCCTTTCTAGGAAAGATAGGGTTAAAGATGATGGAATGACTAGAGCTCATTCTGCTGGGTGATGCCCAAGAGAAAGAGACTTAGACTTCTTAGAAGGCTGAGGTTAAGTGGATTCCAAAGACAGAGGCTGGTTTTTGACTCTAGCTGAATAACAAAAATGTAATAAGAGTTTCTTTACAGATGCCAAGGCCAGGACCTCTGCTTCAGATACTGATTCGCTAGGTCCTCAGTATATCCACTAATTTATTAGATCATGGGTGCAGCCAAAGAGCTCGCCTTTCGCTAATTTTCCAAGTTCTTAATGTGCAGTCTTGGTTAAAAATCACAGATCTAACAGGAAGGATTTGTCTAAGGTCAAACGACTATTTAAAATCTGAGTTAGGACTAAAACCCACCTGCCTGGCTGCTGGACTTTGAACTTTACACTCACTTGGAAACCAAGGAGAACTAGTGATATAATGCATGTTGTTCTGACTGAATTGAGTAGAAACTGAGTGAGGAAATGACCTCTGATTAATAGGGCTCTTAAGCAACTATGGAAAAGCATAACCTTTATGACTAAACAATGGGCATATTAGAAGTGTTAAGCGATCCCTGAATTAGATAAACTAACACTATCCTTACATGTGCTAACTTCAGTGTAGTTAGTGCTACCTCCCATAGATAGAGGAGTTTGTTTCCTTGCATTTCAACTACTATGAGAGGGTACTGCTCTTAAATGTCCTCTCCCCTTACATGTTGTCTACACTAGACAACCCTCAGGCCTAGACTGAAGTGCATGGAGCACAACCTTCTCCAGAGACCCAAGCCTTCCTCTGACACAATCAGGCTCATTTTCCCCAGGCAGCAAGCCTTACTTAGTGAGAGATGGTGATTCTGTGAACATGATCAAGCATACACACACACACACACAGAGAGAGAGAGAGAGAGAGAGAGAGAGAGAGAGAGAGAGAGGAACAGGAAAGATGGAGTGTCTATTTAGCTTGGGGTTTGTTGTGGTTCTTTCTCAGGCACACAATTGTCTTTGATCTGACACAACTCAGTTTTTAATCTCTTTAAAACACAAAGTTTGTGTTCTATTTTTGACCAAAACTACACTTTTTTCTATTTCAGGTTAAGCAATACCTATGTCTGGTCTATCTTGCTTAGAGAGTAAATGTCTAGTCACCTAGTTCTCACTTCTCTGGCAACAATTCTCCTATCTGTCCCTGTGTGTGAACCTCTTCTTGGCTATTTTCAAGTTACAAGACAAAAATAATTTTAGTAGTTCATAAAAAACCATTTCTCTCCATGGCAGCTATACTTATTGAATATATGTTTTTAACCTTAAAAAGCCTGCAGTAGAGTATACACATTCCATCACACACAAAGGAAGGTTTCCTACTTCCAACATGTCTGATCGGGCCTTCTTACCACTCCCCTGCCCCAGGTCTCTGAAGGACACCACCCAAATGAGAGACTCACAGTAGTAAAATGGATTCAAAAATGCTTTTCTTTAACTCTCATGCAATCCAGATATCCTTCTACAGACACCAACAGATGATTAGACGGATGACACACTGGCGCAAATATGACCACACTGATACTACACTAAAGAAATTACAGGCCAGAAAGACTGCCAATGTTGCTCTAGCAGACTATAAATGTACTTGGTTGTGGACTTGAAGTACAGTTTTTCTCTACAACAGGGTTTCCCTGGAGCATCCCATAACAGAGGGCTGGTCCTATTTGTCAGTTCAAGGAATTTCACAAATGTGCAGGGAGGGTTACAAATACTGAGCATTGTTTCAAAGTGTATGTGAGGAAGTCCACAGCTGCCTGGCAAAATATTTCTTTGTTCATTAAGCTCACTCTCCAGCCCCACTCCTTGTGCCTCCTTCCTACTGGTGGGATTAGGACCTTGCAAACCCTTGAGCTTGACAGTAATTTCTGCTCAAGCATCATTTGATCTCCAGCACCGTCACCTCATGCTCCTACACCTTTTGACTCCTCTAAGAAGAATCACCTGTAGCAGTTTCTGCTGGAGGATGGTGATGTCTCGAGGATCTGTGCGGTTGCCATCACGCAACTTGAGGGGACGGTAGATGCAGCACGTGGTGAAGCAGATCATGTACAGAATGTACAAGGCAGCCAGGATGCAGAAGTAAGGCTTTCCATATTTCTCCCACTTGAAGCTTACCAGTTCCTTCACTGGGGTCTGCTCTAGGATCTGTCGAGCCTGCACAGGAAAAGAGCATAGCTTGGGGTGATCAATAGAGTGAAGAGTGTTGAGTTTCCAACTGGGTCCCAGAGTGGGTTGGATATCAATATGTTATCAAGATTTAATTTAATGAATCAGTCACTTCTTTGAGACAGACTAGTCTATTTCTCCTGTATGTCAGCCCTGTGTTATTGCTGTAGATAAACTGTTATAGAAGCAAACACAAGGTACTATGGCAACATTGAACTTTAACAAATGAGTAGTAGTTAGTTGAGTGAGGACAGACTTCAGGACATTCTGTGAAGTACAAGCAGTTTCCAGGGTAGGAAAGTGTAAAAAAAAAAAACCCTTGTATATTTGCAGATAAAGCACGGTTGAAAATATCAGAGAATCCCCCCAGGGAGTGGTGAGAAGTCACCATGGGTGAAGAGGGTAACAGCCAGGTCATTATGCATCAACTTTACCAAGATAGACAGCTTCATTTTTTTTTCTTTAATGAAATAAAAATCAGCATGGGAGTTCAAGCAGGGAAATAAGTAGATTTGTAGTAGAAAGGAGGCTGCAGTAAAGTCATAGGGAATAGAGTAGGTCGTAGGATGTGGCAGTAATCTAAACCAGAGGGGATGGTGTTCTGAGGTAAGTGAGAGATTAAAGCTCTAAATGAAAGGGGTGGGGTGGGATGAAGTATCTAATATTTAGGAAGAAGCAGATTCAAAGCAGCCAGAGGTATTAACCATTAGCAAGAAAAACAATCCTTTTCATTGATGCTGGAGGAAATCAGAGATAGACAGTAGGTAATTCTCAGACATGGTTGGCCAATCAGGGCAGGAATTGAAGTAACCCTGTCCAGAGAGCCTCTACGTTTACCATGAGGTAGGAATTCAGGTTTGGTGCTATCATGAAGGGTAAAGATGGAGAAAAATAGAAAGGAGAGTTAGAAAGGAAAAGTAGGTGTTCCAACATAAGAATAAATCTTGCAGGGGAATTTTGAGAACTTGCTGAAATCAGAGATCAAGAAGGCATGGTAGAAGAAAAAATTACATGGAGGGATTGGAGTTTCAGTTGCTAAGAATTTCTGCTTCATGTGCATCTGCTTCCAGAAATGTCCCCTGAGGAAGAACACACACACTGTCCACTCAATCACTCTTTTATTCTTTAACCTGACCTGGCATTAGTGCCAGGTTCCTAATAATTGTCTCATGGTAAGGAAACAATAGAACCTATATCTTACCACAATTCTGGAAGTTGTTGGAAGCTGTAAGTGTTTTCTCCTTTACATTCCAGTCTTCATTTCCTTCACAGCACTCAACCCTTACTCTCTGCACGATCTACACATTGCTGTCTATCTGGAGAGCTGTCTTATCCCCTTCTCTTTCCAGTGCCTCCCTGAAGATCCAGCACTAGCATTTCCCCTCCAATATAGTCTCTAACACAACCCAATCAAGTTAATCCTACTCTAAATTTGCTCTCCTGCAGTACACCCCTTTTAGACATATGTTGTATTCCATTGCAATAATGGTAGACAGGGGTGAGAAACTGTAGAAGTTGACCACCAAGAAATGTGCTTTCCATGTATTCTTACTGCCCTTTGTACCATCTGGGACTCAGCAGCTACTCACTGTGCTGAATAAGTGAATGATAGGAAGCAACTCCCACTTGCAAAATTCCTAGTTGAAATGTTAACATCAGAAAAGTAAGCAGCAAAGCTAAGCAGCAAGAGCGTGGAGTTTGGAAGGCACTGTTACCTGGACTTCTTCTAAGCAGCACCCAGAACACTGCTCTCTCCTCCTCCTCTCATACAGAAGCTGGGAAGTGTCTGGAGACTGGGCCCTGTGCAGACACTACAATGCCCCCTGCTTGCCCCAACAGCCATACCTCTCGCTTTTTGGAAGACACCACAAGCTCTAGAAAGGACAGCTCCTCTCCCCAGGAGTCGATCTCTGTGAGGTCGTACAGTGTGGAGGTCAGTGGCCCATATGCCCACTGGATGTGCTTCCGCTTCTGCATTAGGTGCTGGAACATCTGAGAGACACAGGTAGGGGGAGAGTCAGTGCACAACACGGCTGGCTAAGGCCAGCTGTCCACTGCCTGGGATCAATAGGCAGTGGGGAATCAGTAAACCTCTGCTTATATAACCTTCTTCTGGAGAGGCAGGGGGAGGGATCTTTATTCCTCACAACTCCATCCATGAAGCTTTAGAAGGAAAGGAGAGGGCCCGGTGCCGTGGCCTAGCGGCTAAGGTCCTCGCCTTCAATGTGCCGGGATCCCATATGGGCACCGGTTCTGATCCCAGCAGCTCCACTTCCTATACAGCTCCCTGCTTGTGGCCTGGGAAAGCAGTTGAGGACGGCCCAAAGCTTTGGGATCCTGCACCCGTGTGGGATACCTAGAAGAAGTTCCTGGATCCTGGCTTTGGATCTGCATGTCATCAGCCGTGGCGCTCACTTGGGGAGTGAATCATCGGATGGAAGATCTTCCTCTCTGTCTCTGCTCCTCTCTGCATATCTGACTTTCCAATAAATAAATAAATCTTAAAAAAAAAAAAAAAGGAAGAAGAAGAAGAAAAGGAGAAGCAAACGGACTAGGCCTTTGTGTTTCCATGGCAGAAACTCTAAAGATGAGCGCAAAATCCTCCAGAGTGAAGGAACCACAAGATATTAGTGGTACAGTAGGAAGCAATAGCTCATCACCCTTCGGAGAACTCGGGGGACAAGAATTATTGAAAAGCCACCACAGGGGTAGAGGTGTCCCTCACCACAGTGTTGCCCTCCACCCCTGCCAGCTTGAAGGGCGTGAGGCCCTCATGATTGGGCACAAATTCCAGGGACTGCGGGTCATCGTTGTGCTCATCATAGGACAGCAGCAGGTTGTACATCTGGCAGGCAAAGGTCTTGTTGGGTTGCAGGATGAGGATGTGTAGCACTGTGTTTCCTGGGAAGGACACGAGGGGACACTAGCCTGAGTTTCTCATGTCTCCCTCGGTTCCCTGGAGCCAGTGTATTCCTGCTCCTCCCACCATGCCCCTGCACCATGTTAGCCTCCCCCATTCAGCTCTTACCCAGGGAATCCTGGGCCCGGATGTCAGCTCCATGTTCAATGAGCAGCCTCACGATCTCCTCATTGCCCACACAGGCAGCAAAGGACAAAGGGTGCTCCCCTAGGGATACAGAGGGATCCATGGCAGGAGAGTGCAGGACAGGAGGGCTGATGTCCCCTAAGCAACTGCCTCCCCAGAGTCACATCTCAGCTCAGGCTTGGCTGGGGACTGTCATCTAGCAGAAGCAGAGAAAGAGATGGTTCAGAGGGTCACGGGAGGAATCAGCCTCTGGCCTCAATGTTCCTCCCCCTATATGACACAGATAGAGCTGAGTCTTCCATCATCCTTCTGTTCCTGCCCACTTTACCACCTTCCCACCTTCCTTCCATCTCCCCACTTTGCCATTTTCCCACTGACCCATCTTCCCACCTTCCCACCTTCCCACTTTCCCTTCCTTCCAGCCCATGCCTGACTCTCACCATAGTAGATGAGGTTGTGGGGACTGCGGCGGAAGGCAGCACCTGTCGCTCTGGCAGAGACAGAGGCCCCACGCGCAAGCAGAGCACGCACCAGGTTCAGGTTCTGGTTCATGACAGCGATGTGCAGTGCAGTCTGACCTGACCCAGAGAAAGCCGTTTGCCATGGGGTCGTACTTCTCTGTGCACAGTTCTTTTAGGGGCATGACTCTCCCACATACCCTACAAGACATCTCTGACTGTCCCTTTACAGACTTCTGCCCTGGTTCATCAGAGTGCTGGGTATTGAAGGCAGTCAGTCTTTCAAGGTGCCCAATTCATTTTTCCTTCGCTTTATCTATTGGCAAAAGAGGTGGACGGTTGCCCTATAAACAATCACTGAAGTGCTGTTATGACAGAACGTGAGAGATATTTGTCCTCCAGGGCCATGAGAAGACACAGAGGAAATCATTCAGTGACTAAAGTGAATCACCGAAGCTCAAAGCCAAGACTAGGACTCATGCAGTAGACCCTAACTCAAGGCTACATTTCAGCCTGACTCTTCAGCACTACCACATGGTCCTCCTTTTGGACAAATGATAGCAATTGTCCCATACCTGTCTCCACTTAGAATTATTGTGCAGCCTCCTCACCTACAAATGGCTCATTCAGGGCCGGTTCCTTGGCCAGCTCTGGGGCAGCCTTCATCACCATCATGGCAGCCTCCATGTTGTCATAGAGGGCTGCAACATGGAGCGCCGTCTCCCCCACAGCTCCTGAAGTGAAGAAAGATGGGGATGCCAGAGTTCTCAGAGACATCCCCAGGGCCCTTTGGAGTAACCCCTCAGAGTCCTAGGGCAGAGGGGCAGATGTTTCCATCCCAGCTTTGACCCCATTACGCTCTGATCCCACCTCTTTGTAGAAAGTCACAGGATTGGTTCACTAGAAGTATCTTAAGGAGAACCAGATCATTTTCCTTGGCTGCTTGAAGCAATGGGGAGTCTCGGATCCTGGAGGAGGATGAACACAAGCGTGGTTGAGAATGAGTCACAGGAGGTCATTCTATAAGACAGACTCAATTCTCCTGAAGTGTGTAGAGACAAACTGGAAAGAGCTGTCCAGTGGACTGGAAGAACTGAAGGCAGATTTTGGCAAGACCCAGTGTCAGGGCTTCCTGTGTGATTGGCTTCATAACAGTCCCCCTCAAAGGACAGGCTGAGTGCAGAGGGTTAACAGAAGGGCCCAGTGCAGGAGGCAGGACAGTCTGGAATGGTGACCAAGGTATCCCTGAGAGGAGGAGCTTAGGCCTGGCTGATTTCCTTTAGGCTGAGCAAATATTCACAGAACCTGGAGAGTTGAAGCAACTGAAAGAAGGGGCATCTCCATTAGGTTGCCTGGGGACCAGGCCTCCTTTACCTGCTGTTTTCAGCTAGGGGGAGACAGAGAGACCAGAACAGCCAGGGTGGACAGAGGAGGTTGTTAGGCCTTAGGAAATCTAAAATCTATGGAATTTGTAAGCCAGTAAATCTGAAATCCATGGAATTCGTGAGCCACTAAAGTTCTGCCTTCTCTCTGCAGCTGTTCAGATACACAACCCTGTAGGGGGTGGGACTAGGGACTGGGTAAGAGGGATCAGTTGCTTTTGGACTTTAGTCCAAGTGCTTAGATGCAAGGGTCTAAACATCTTTTTGTAACTGAGGTAGGGTGGAGGATTGGGTCACTCAGCACGGAAAAAGCAAAGTTGAGATAGCCACCCTCTGAGACCTTTTCGTTTCTGCCACTGTCTGGATCTGAACTGAACCAAAGATAAAGCTGGAGCCAATTCTGCCAGATGAGAGAAAAGTGTTTTGCTTAAAGATTCATGCGAAGGTCTGTTCAGGTCACAGGAAAGCAATCCTGGGACTCAGCCTCTGCCCTTTCTCTCCCAGATCCAGGTTCGGTGAGCCACAGGTCTCTGGCCAGCTGAGTGGCCAGCACGGCACTTCCTGAGTTAACTCCCTTATCTGGGGCCACAGGACAGAGCTCCTGTCCCTCAATACCTCCAGCTTCACTGCCCCTCTGGAGAGGGCAAGTCTCAGGTCACCTGGCAGGACCTGGGGCAGGGGAGTAAGCAAGCAGTTAGTCAGATGCAAATGTAGCAATCAGGTCAAAATCACTAAGTATTTTAAGATGGTGACAGCGTGGCGGCACCGGTCCCAGCACAGGGGCTGATGTCTGCTCTTCTCCTCTTCCCCAGGCAGCTGTTGGATGGAAGACAAGTTCCCTCCATACTCCATCTGCAAATCCCTGCCCAGGCTGCTTTTCATGGGGCAGATCTCAGGGCTACCTCTAGGGATCCAATCTAGCCTGAACTTCAGTTTTGCAGTCTACCTGTCCACAGGGTCTGAGATAACTTTTCACACCATAGGCTCACAAAAAGTGGATGAACTCAGGACTCCTGAGGCCACCTGGGTCAGGCATTACACAAACAAACAAAGCTCTCCCCGCCCCCTGCCCCTCCCCTGCCTTTTGTAGGCAATCAACTTGCAGTCATATTGATAGTCATTCTTTAATCTTTCTTCTTCCTGCAAGTCTTCTAAACAAGGTGCTTCAAAACCCAAAGACTGCAGCTTGCCTTATAGGGTCCTCAAACCATGAGTACTCCCTGTCATAGTGCTGGTCCCAGTCCTGGCTGCTCCCTTCCAAACTATCTGTTGGGCAACACACCTGGAAAGGTAGAAGATGGCTCCAATACTCACATCCCTGTCACCTACATGGCAGACCCAGAATATTTTTCCAGTCTCCTGGCTTGAGGCCAATCGGGTTGTGAATCAACAAATGGAAGATTTCTTTCTCTCCCTGTCTCTCCCTCTTTCTGTCTCTGCCTTTCAAATAAAGGAAATAAATCTTAAAAAAAAAAAATTCCCCAAATCCCAGCAGTTCACTACCCCTGTCTGCCCACATCACTCATACACTTCTGTCTGGTCCCTCTTAGTCTCCGCCCCCAACTATTACCCCCACACCCACCCTTTACACTAGGCAGAGAGATGAGAACCAGCGCTGTCATTCAGATCTACATCCAAAGTCTTCTGTGTGTTCACAGCCTCCACCACCACTGAAAGGGGCTGGCTGGGGTTTTGCACTGAGCAGCTGGAAGGAAAGAAGCTAGCAAAGTGAAGGGCATGGGATTCTTGGTACAAGGTAACATTCCCAAACAGCTGGGAGGTTTGAGGGCCACTGAAAACCAGCACTAGTCCCCTGGGGCGCCTACCTCTTCTGTTGTAGCATATTGACCTGGTCACGATTCCATTCCCAGTCTTGTTCTCCAGTCAGCCAGGAGGTCAGAAGCTTCTGGAGTTGAACCCAGGGTCCCAGGGCCTTGGGTGGGCAGGCCCCCATGTCTGCTCCTTGCAAGTGCTGGCAGGCTGGGGGAATGCGGTAAGAAGAACAGGTCTAGGACGGTGCCGCTGACAAGGAGGCGGAGTCAGTTGGGGGTCTGGACTCTGAGTAAAAATGCCTCCTTTATGTGTCTGCAGCGAGAATGTGTGGTCTTGTATGTGTGTGTGCATGCGCACACAGCGTGTACATGTGCACCACACCAAGCAGATTAACCACTCAGCCAGTGGAGCACTCTTTCCCTGAAAGGGGAGGAGCTCTGGAGAGAGCCCACCCCGAGGGAACCTCTGGAAGGAGGAGGGAGGGACTTCTTTGTTCTTGGCAGTGGGCTGAGGCGGCCCAGACCGGGAGAGGCTGAGGGGAGGGGCTGAGGAATTTTGATGGGAACGAGGATGGAGACTGGAAAGTGAGTCTCACAATCAAGACACCCAGCGAGTGGGAGGCAGATGAATAGAAGTGAAGATCTCCAGCTCAAGAAAAAGGCAAGTCCGGGGCCAAATCCTGGTCCCATCTCTTAACACAGCTGGGTGAGCTTTCTGAGTCTTGGTCTTCCAACTTGAAAATTGCAGTAGCAATTACAGGTTCTTCTGGAAGTGTTGTGACACGGGTGTCACAAGGAGCCCTACAACTGTTGACTGCCTTCAGAGTTGGGCTCAGAAGACTCCATGTGGCTGCCTCTGAGCCCTACCTCTTTGACCTCAGTCTTTCTCAAACCTGCTGCCCCGTTCAGGCCATACTTTATGCTCCCTCCCAGGTCACCCCTCTCTGAACCACCCCATTCCTGTGTACCTTCCATGAGCCTTGGTTAAGCCAAGCTCTGAAACCAGGGAACACAAATCAGACACACACGGTTCCCAGAAGTTCTGGAGAGGTTGAACAGAGTAATACTAAGCAGAGGTGAGAGGCAAAGAAACCATGAGTCCTATATATGTACTGAACCATCCCACTGTACCCTATGTATGTATATCATTAGTGTATGGTTACATGTTTGGGAGTCTTTCCAGGCCTGAGACAGGAGAAATGTGTAAAGGCATTTTATTTTATTATCACATATTTTATTATGTGACAGTTTGTATTTAACTCTCTGCTTTCAAAGAGGGACCTGTGAAGAAAATGTGTCCTTCCTGCTCTGAACACAGAAGAGTCTGCTAGTCCAAAACTGTATGGCAACTGGTTGAAGTGAAACTGGCTTTGAAGTTGAGATTTCAATTCAGAGTCATTCTCCAGTACTTCCTTGTTTCTTGCATGCCTCTTGAATACAGGGTGTTAGGGATTTGAGTGGGGACATGCTAGGACCCTCCCCTAGGGGTTTTCTTAGTGAGGACTGCTCTCTTGGTTTGCTCTAAGAGAGATCTACTCCAGAGATTGAAGGATGGGCAAAACAACTTTTAGGAAAGGACAAGGAAAATCAGTGAGTGAAGCCAAATCCCATGATACAAAAATAAGATTCTACCTCTAGGCTGTCTCCCTTAGCCCGAAGTGTCTTGACCTGCCTTTTATCAAAAGGAATTCATTGACTTAAGGGAGTGATCCAGCTGGCCTTAAAAGATCCTTACAAGAAGTCATTTGCTTCTCCAATAAATAAGAACATCAGTGTTCTGGAGCATTCTAGGTCTGTGCGGAATGTAACTGCCATCTTCATGTAACCCCCAGAGCATCTGGAGCCCACCTTGAAACAGAATCCCCATAATGCAAAAGCAGAACCCAGCTACCTGTCCTGTTTAGCACAAGGTGCCCTTGCCTGGTCTTAATTGAAAGGAATTCACTGACTTAAGGGAGTAAGCCAATTGACTTTATAAGGTTCTAATCACCAGCCTCAAGGAGTCATTTGCTTCTCCCATAGATGGTCAGAGTTGTCCTGGGGTGATTTGTGTGGAAGTATTCCAGATCTGGGCAGAATGTAACTGCCACTTTCATGTAACCTCTAGACCAACTAGAGCTTACCTGACCATCACAAATCCCCTCAAGAGCATGGCGTCACTGACCAATCATAAGAAGGGCATGAGCTCCATTGACCAACCAGGAACTTGGACACCAACTGACAACCTACATCTCAGCTTCAATTCCAATGTATAAGAACCTTCACTCTTAACTCCTCTGGGAGCCATAGCTCCCAGCTCCTCACTCTGCAATTGTTAATGAATACCTTCCATGGTTTTCTACACACTGGGCCTGCAAACCCAGTTTGGAGATTCTACAACAATCTCTCCAATCACTTTGAGGTGTTATTCAGCAACAACCTGGCCTAAATAAATTCCCTAAAGAACATGATTTTACTAAGCAGTCAAAGGAGGGTCACGAGCACCACTAACCAACATGCACTAGAACACCAAGTGGTCACATACCTATTAGCCCCAATTTCAATCTATAAGAACATTCCCTTTAATTGCTGCAGAAGTCCAGAAATTAAGCAATAGTTATCCAGATCCTTGCTCTGTGCTTGGCAAGAAATACATACTTTCTTCTATTACCTTGATATCACTAATTAGCTTTCAGATACAGTTTGGGGGAGTTCTACAACAATGCCTCCAACCAGTTTGGGATGTTTTTTGGCAACATGAGGAACAGGAAAGCAGGCACCTGCTACCTGGAAGAATTGCATTCTCATCCAGGCAGTGGTGAGTGGGTCACCTTGTGGGACATTTTACTACCTCACTGGGGGTTGGGGCAGTGTGGGTGGTAATGGTATCTGGAGACTTCCAGTTTAAGGAGATGCAAGGAATGATAAGGCTGAGGTGGGGGTTGTAGATGTGCTGATAAGCAGGGGTAGGTCAGAAAAGGAGCACCTGCCAAGAAAACATTCAACCCATAAAGCTAATCCTTTAGGGGGTGGGAGCCAGAGGGGCTGGTGGGGGTTGTGGGAGGCTGACCTGGCCAGAGCCGCACAGAACAGGACATCATCCCTGGGTCTGAGGAGTTCAATGTCACCCTTACCCTTGCCCTTCTCTGCCTGCATCAACCTTTCCAATGCGAGGGACACAGACCAGTAGCGTGGGTGAGAAGTGAGCTGTCCTTCCCATGCTAGCAAGATACATTGGATTAAGAGTGTCTCCTCTTCTCTCCCCTGGCTTGCATGCACACCACTCCACCTTTGTGATATCCTGTATCGCCATCTCATTTTCCTTTCTGCCTCCTTCCTTTCTCTTTGGTCCTCCTTCAGCTCTCTGCAGACAGACACCTACTGAAATGGAAACTGTATAATGTGAAAGCAGGAACTGGCCTCTTGTCTGTCTCCCACAGCCCAAGGTGTCCCTGCGTGCTCTTTATCAAAAGAAATCCTGTGCCTTGAGGGACTGATGCAGCTAGTCCTGCAAGCTTCTAATCACCAGACTCATTTGCTTCTTTGATAGATAAGAACATTGATGGCCAGGGTTGTCCTGGGGTGCTTTAGTCTGTGAAGAGGAATTCCAGGTGCTGGTAGAAAGTAACTGCCATTTTCATATAACCCCTGGATCAACTGGAGCCCACCTGGCCATCACAAAGTCCCTTAGGAATATGACATTGCTAAATTAAATGATAGCTGCCTGGCTCTTTGCAATGAAGACCTACTTTCTTCCATTAGCCCAAAGACTGACTTTCTATGCACCCCGACAAACTGACCCAGTTTGGGAGTTCTATAGGAACACTTCCCACTAGTTTGAGGTGTAGTTCAGCAATACTATAACCTTCCTGTTTCAGGGGGAAGTTGCCCTACAGACAATAACTGTAAATCTAGTGCATGTTGGTCAAGGCTCCAGTGCCTAGAAGAGCTAAGTTGGGGGCACCTCTCTCACCGTGATGTCAGAGCAATCTGACCTATATTCTGAGTTGGTGTGTAGAAGGGGAAATGATAATGTCTGGATTTCAGCTTTTAGGGAATAATTTCCCATTCCTGTGCTCACAGCCATTTACGGAGAAAAGAGTGCACTACACTTTAATACATGGAATGGAGATTATCATCAGATGGTGGAATTGTGACCTTTTTAATTTTTTGTACTTTTTTAATACTTTGCAATAAGAAAAAAAAATCATACATTATTCCTACTTTGCTGCAAGGGTTTCTGTCTTTCAAAATGAAATATTTACAGGTGGGTGGGAGGAAATGGAAGTAAGGAAGGTTAGTACAACCCATTTTTTTCTACAAAGCCGCCTCCCACAGGGACAACCATCCCAACCCCCCTTTTCCCTCATACTCATAGAAGTGGGACCGGCTCCTGTTTTTGCCAGAGAACCAAGAGGCTCGTCCCCGGAAATAGCCAGGAGTTATTTTTGTTTGTTTTTATTTATTTATTTTTCTTCTATTGAGGCATGGTTCTTTGGCTCTGCAGGTCAACGGGAACAAGGCAGGGGTGAACAGGGTCACCCATCCATTTGTATCTCTCCTTCCTCATTGTTAAGTGACTACTTCTCCTGCTCCCCAGTCCCTGTCATTTGGCTTGAATCATATATTAAGGATAGCATTTGCTGTATGCAGGAAAATCTTCATGTGAACATTGTCTGCTAGCATGGGATACTTCAGTGGGAAAGAATACTGCATTTTTACTTCTGTAGTTCTGCCTCACAGGAAGTACATGTTGCTGCAGCATCCTTTCACCTGCATTTGCATGTTTAACCCACGTGTAGCATGCATAGGTGAGTAAGGCGATGTGAGTGGCTGGCGACAATTCAGGTGTATTTAAACTTTTTCCCATGTGTTCTAGCACCTGTGCATGTCTCACGGCCAATGTCTGTGTCTGGTTTTCCAGATACATATCTTGTCTGGACTATATCGTGTCTCTCTCAGCCCAAAACCCCTACCTGCCCCTCCCAAAATCCTCTCTGTTCCAAGAAGCAGGTAGTGATTGCCACACCCTGTTTATGCCAACAAGTCTATGCTCACAAGGTTCACTGACAGGATGGGCATTGGGGCATTGAGGTAGGTTTTCTTTAAATCCTTTATTTGAAATCCTTCACTTCCTATCTTACTTCTTCTCTACAAGCTCTAATACCTACCAAGCAAGGAGCTTTTTCTCTGTATCTAAGAGCACAGTATTACATGGAAGAAGCGGGGGGAAGATTTTCAACAAGATGTTCTTGTTCCAGTTCAAGGTACCTGGGATCAAATTCCAGCTTTGCTCCTGATTCCAACTTCTTGACAGTATAGACCCTAAGAGGCAGCAGATGACAGTTTTAATTGTTTCACTGCCACTTACATGGAAACCTAGATGGAATTGATAGTTCCTGGCTTTGGTTCTGTCCTGGAAAAGCACCACAATTGTAGGCATTTGGGTAGTGAACCAGTCAACGGGTATTCGATTTATCACTCTCTTTCAATTAAAAGAAGATGAGAACAAGGGGCATTTCAACTTGGAGATATAGGATGGCAAATGCTATTCCTAGGGAGAAAAGTGGAGGAGGATAAGAAAAGAAGAAAGTGGTCTGGTATTGTTGTGTAATGGATAAAGTCATTGCCTGCAACACCAGTGTCTATAGGTACTGGGTTTCTGTCCTGAGCCAGATTGAAAACAGTAGCCAGAAGCTTCATCCAGGTCTCCCATGTGTTTATCAGGGGTCTACTTCTGATACAGCGTCATACTAATGACCATATCTTTTACTGAATATGGTCCAAGTACTTGGGATCCTACCATGCATAGGAGACTTTGATGAAAATCCTGGCTCCTCATTTCAATTTGGCCCATCCTTGAATGTTACAGTTATCTGGGGAGTGAACCAGCTGATAGATTATCTCTCTCCCAATCCCTCTCTGTTTCTCCCTTTTTATAACATTGACTTTCAAACATACATACATATATATATACATACATAAACCTTTTCTTAAAAGAATCAAAGAGTTAATTCTGCTGTAACAAAACGCAACTGATCTCTATCTTCCTGTACTTTTATCTTTCTTGTCTTTGTCTTTTGCGCGCACGCGCGCGCGCACACGCGCGCGCACACACACACACACGTATATATCTTTTTCCCAGCTTCTTTCATTTCCTTCCCACTCATTTTTTGACAGATCCACCCAAGTTTCAAGTAGAGCACCAGGCATATACCAGGACTCAAAAGATCCTGGTCTTTGCATTGGTCTGGGCCTCAGCTATGCAAGCCTCTCCTCTGGAGAAAGATCACATGAAATGGGTCTTATTTAGAATCAAAATCATTCATTAATTGTCCTGTTCTTCTCATTAAAATCTGAGTGACCCTGAGTAAAAGATCATTCTCTTTTGTAAATCTCTATCATAGATGTGGGAACACCCCTACTTTAACATCTGGCTGCTGTATTAATCCAATGATGTGGGTATTTGGGTACCCTGTGAACTCAGGTCTTATCTGTTTCTTCCTACAAGATGATCTACCATAGTCATCTTAGGAGTCTCTGCCAGCTACTATCCATTTTCTTGCCTGATGATGGGATGCTCTGGTGAATTTGGAATGTGGCTGGGGCCCAGGGCTGTGATGTCACAGAGCATGTGAAGTCAAGATTGTATGGAAGGAAAGGGGAGAAAATGGTACTGGGAAAGGGTAAGGGCCAGAACAGGGACAGGGTGGGAGTTGGAGGGAGCTGCTGGGCAGCGGCGAACAGGGCAGGCCCAAGGTGGCAAATGGGCACCGATGACTTCCCTGGGGTCCCAGCTCTGCAGGGTCACTTTGTTGGCAGCCATTCTGCTGCTGTTGCTGTGGGTGAGAGGGGTAAGGACTCAGAAGGGAAGCCCAGAGTCTGATGGAAAGAACCAAGAAGAACAAGCTTCTTCTACAGGTAGGTGGAGAAGAGGAGCACAGTATTTGGAAGAAAGGGTCAGACCCCAGGTAACTGATGGGGAGGTGGGCAGAGTGGGTGAGGACTGAATTGAGTTGTAAAAGGCAACCATGGCTTCCAATTGTCATGGTGTCAGGTAACAGGGGTTCTGACCCAGGAGCACACAAGAGGCCAGCTGAAATTGTACACAATCTCTACACTGTACTTGTACATTTGTATAAGAGGACAGTTTTTGGTTTTCTTCATATTTTAAGTTGGCTCCTCATTCCCTAAGTGGTGTAACATTTTGGAGGAGGCAGCTCATGTTAGAAATGAGATGTGTGTAAGTTTGAGAGGGACCTGGGCCTGAACCAAACCAGAAAACTCCTCTACTTGGAACATCGTTGGTGTGGTCAAGAGAATGGGAAGTCAGGCAAAGGTCTGTCCCCCTGGTCTCCCTCCATATTACAAGTCCTTCCTCTTGATCTTGGTTGGGGTTGGGATGGGAATAGATCAGACCAGGACTATCAATCCCTGCCCTTCTTCCCTGTTCCAGACCAGGTCCAAGAAATGTATGAAGAACATTTTGTGGCCTCCTCCGTGGGTGAGCTGTGGCAGGTGGAGGACATGGCCCAGCAGGAGGAAGACATGACATCTGAGTCAGCAGTTATCCGCGACCACCTCTTTGACCTTGCCTTCTGCTTTAACCTGGCCAGCATCATGGTTTTTTTATGAGGGACGTTGAGGCTGACCTGGTGGCCCGGTTCTTGGCTCAGGACCTGAATGCCCACCTTCGTTTCATGATAGCTTACTGACTCCATCTTCCTGATGTGCCCCTTGTCATTACTCACACAAAAGACAGACACTTGGCTCACCACCCTTCTTTCTGACTGCATCTCACCTCAGGATACACCATGAGAGACATCTGTCATCATCATTGCCTGATTGCCAACCACAGCTTCGTCTCCCAAGACCAGTGACACAAAACCCATGCCCTTCTTTTCCCCACACCCCTCCTGTTTTGTGTTTTTTTTTCCATGGCAGCAGCTTAGGCAGAGTGACAGCAGCTTAGAGACAGTGACAATAAAACAACCATAAAGTCTTGACAACAACTGTAAGAACTTTCTGAGATTCACCCAAGTCCTAGGTCTGCAACTGATCTGTACAACTGCATGCTCTTTGCTCCAATGACTGACCTTCAGACCCAACAGCTCACTAGCCATAATGCCCATAGAACCCTTCTTGGCAGTTACACCTCTTATTTCCTGACATTTAGGAATAGAACATAGTGGAAAAGAGTTGATTAAGAGAGAGGCATCACCAAGGGTCAGCTTTTATTTTGAGAACAAGAAAGGAGAGGAAATAATTGCCCTGGCGCCCTAAGTAGGTCCAGGGAGGGTTTGTTACATTTGTGTTTTAGTCTTTAGGCCATCTCTAAGTCACCAGAGTTGGCAGTGGACAGATGGGTTCATGACGGTACCACGTGGACAGTGGAAATATCTGGCAAAGGCTGGGAGGTGACTCAGAGGTCCAAGAATACGAAGACTGGGAGGGCTGTGAATATCCTCAGAATCCTGGGGGCTGGGCTTCCTACACATCATCTGATGAGAAAGAGAGGCCAAGGCAGGTTAAGACATGGAGTATGTCATGATATGGTCAATAGCACAAGGAAAGCTGGTGGTCAGGGAGTCACCAGGAGGAATAATCAAGGAAGAAAGCAGGTGTAGCCCCACATGGCGTATTTGTCATCTGCAGTTCTTTTCTTCTGGTGGTAGAAGTCCAGTGAAACCCGGGTTATATAGTAATACCATTCATAAGTGAGAGGTGAGAGCTAAGAGAGGAATATTGTGAGGGAGTCTTCAAACCTGGTGGAGATTTGCAGCCTGTCTATCAAGAGAGCCCAGGTACTTAAAGGGGTTTATGTCAGGTTGGGACCTCATCTGGGAGTGAGGTCTCAGAGGAGAAATGTGATACAAAGCCCAGGGCAGGTTGCTTTCTAACAGGTGTGCATGAAAAAAGTCAGGATTATCTAATGGAGAAGGACATGGCAGCAAAGTTTTTTTTTGGATTGGAGGAGTACTGAATTTGGTAAAAGAGCCAAAAGTAACTTGAAGGATGGCCTGAAGGGTGAAAGTGAGAATGACCATAGCAGAAGGTTTGTGGTTTTTGAGGAGAGTACATGGGAAAAGAAAGGCTCTTTGGAGCATGAATAATAGGTACTTATCTCATGTGAAGCAAGCTGAGGAAGAAGGCAGCAGCTACCCACCTGGGCATAGCTTCGGAAGAAGAGCTGCTGGGAACTGAGGTCCTGATTGGGCAGGGTGGTCTCCCCACGGTAACGTGTTAGACTCTTGCTGTATGCCTGGGTATAATTGTGAGATACAGTGGCTCTTAGGTTCTTAGGCGCCATACACATTTGGAATTACACACTCAGTTTCAAGCCCTCACCAGTTTGACATGGGCACATTAGTCTAAGCCAGAAGAAGGATTACTTGTTCAAAGATATAGAGACATTCCAGAAAATGGGTTGGAAAAGGAGAGGGATCCCTAAGCCTCCCTCTGCTCAGTGGAGCTATGAAAGGCAGCGAGAGCTACGGAACTACATCTGCAGGAGGGATGGTGAAAAGAAAAGCAGAAAATAGTCTTGCTGATAAAACCAAGCCTTCGGCATGTAAATTACCTGCCATGCAATGGACAGCCCCCCTACATCTGCTGCATTTTCCAGGAAGGTGAGAGAGCTATTGAAGGTGGTTCTGTTGGGTAATGGGAAGGCAGCATAATGTCGCTCCAGGCAAAGGGATGCCTCCTGAAGGGCATTGTTGTCACAACTGGGGCAGCCCCCAGGGAGCACTGTTGAAAATGAGAGTGAACCAGTGAAAGATGTCAAGGCAGGTACACAAGGAGATACCATAGACTCATTGGGCTTCTGGGAGCACTGCAAAGTTGTTAGGGCTGTCCCTCTGGAACCCTCAAATAACATTCTTCTCCCCTCCAGATCTGCTTAAAGGGCTTCCTTTGGGTTCCCTGTGGCCCCACCTCCCGGTAGCCGCTGTTACCCACAGAACTGATAGAAGACATGCAGCAGCTTATGCGCCATGATGCTGCCAGCAGCGCCAAAGTTCACGGCTCTAGGGAGACAAGAGCTTGTCAGTTCCCCAGAATCGCACGACGTGTTTGACCCCAATCCTTTAACCACAGGTCCCATTCATAATAATACCTGCCAATCTGTCTTGGGAAATTCCCTGCCCACCCAAATTGAAGAGCTCATACCTGGGGTAGCCAGGGTGGAAGAAGGGAGGTTGGAGGAGTCCAGCTGGGAAGACCACCACATGGTCAGATATTGAATAGTAAGCATTCACTCCCCAGGCAGACACCTGCCATCTATGGAAGAACACACATGAGCACAGCTCTATCACTGGCACTCCCACCCAGCATATACCTTCCATCCCAACTATTCCCAGTGTTTCTGTTGTCTTCCCTGCACCCTGGTTTGTTTTCCTACTAATTCTAGGGAAGGAATATCTGTATCTCCCCTGCTCTCACACCTGTGTTGAGGAAAAGGTTTCAAGAAGTTTTGGACGATTCTAGCCCGGAGTGATCGGGCACAGCTCAAGACAGACTGCAGAAAATTGGGTCCAAGTTGTATCTGGAAGGAGGCAAAAGGTGACTTGGGCACATGGAGAAAATATAGATGCATACTGACATTCACTGATGGGGACATTTGAACTCAATCATGTATGTCTTAACCTGTACCACGATATCATCACACCTTGGTATACACAGACTTCACGTGTGTTAGCATAGAAACAAGCACACCCAGGCAAGTCACAGAATGTGTGCTTGTCTGTGTGTGTGTGTGTTTCTGTGTGCATGCTCACGTGCTTGAAAACAGTCCACTCATTTACCAGAAAGACCTGTAGACTGGACCCCTGCCCCCTCCCATGAATCCCAGTCAGCATCAGGACAGAGAAGGGGATGGTTAGAATTACCCAAGGAAAATGGATTGTCCAGCAAAGACTCGGCAGACTGGATTGGTGAGAAGAGGAATGAAGAGGGGCTAGGAAATGCAAGGACTCACATCACTGTATTCTTGTTTGGCCAGCTCTGGCTTCAGGGCCCACTCTGGGGCCCCTATCTTCACCTGCAGGTGGGTGACCTGGGAGAGACATAAAAGGTAGCAGAGAGCTAGTATCTTCTCTACCAGAGGGAGCGTCTCCTGCCTACTGCCCTGTCCCATGGTTGCAGCACAAGGGGCATCTTCAGAATGCTCTCAGAATATATACATTTGCTTTTAGCTTCATTCCATAGGAGCTTTAGCAGTGTTCTTGTGTTGGTTTTTGTGTATGGGACTCTGTCCTCCAATTACCATCCCCTAATCAAAAACTAGCTTCCACCCCTACACTATTCCCATACTGGCCTTTGCTGTTGGATTTACCCTGTCCTGTCTACAGCCATAGCACCCTGAACGTGCCCGATCTCGTCAGATTTACCCTGTCCTTGGCCTCTTTCTGGGTCTCCTCATTCATCCAGGAAAGCCGTTTGAGGCGAGTAATGAGGGCTTCCTTGACTGCTGTAAACAATTCCATGGCCTGTGGGGTGAGGGTGAGGGATAGGAGACAGGATCAAAATCAGCCTTGGCCCTGGTCTTGCCCACAGCAACTGGTTTTAGGGAGAGACCATTGCCACAAGGAACTGCCTGGACTAGAGTAGCTACCAGGCAACAGAGGTCCCAAAAAAGAGGAAGAGAGAGAGAACGGAAAGGGCTGCTTTCAGCAAGACCATAGGCCTTCAGGGAACAAAGATCTGAAGTAACAAAGGCAATGCCAGACAGAGCAAGCGAATAGGAAACCGACCTCCCGTCCCAGTGGTTGACCAGGAGGATGGCTTCAGGAATTGCTCAGTCTGATGTGAACATAAGTGCTTGCATCCCCTCCTCTCAGAGAGTCCTTATCCTCACCCCTTAAGAGGTGTGTTTTCTTTCTTCAGCAACCTGAGCTCTGTAGCTTCCCAACAAACTGGAGTCTTCCGAGTCTGGAAGTCTGTACTCAGTGTGTAATTTTCCCAGCCATCTACTATTTTATGTGTAGCCTTTCTTGATAGTTACTTGAGAAACAGATACACAGAGATCTCCCTTCTACTGATTCACTCCCTTCTGCTATGGCCAGAGATGGTGATGCTGAAGTCAAGAGACTAGAACTCAACCCCTGGTCTCCCACACAAGTCCCAGGAACTCAAACACTGAAGACATCACCAGATGCTTCCAGCACAGCTCAGACCCGAACCCAAATATCCGGATGTGGAGTACAGTTGCGCCAAGCAGGATCTTAAGAGTTTTGCCCATTATTTGCCCCAATCTATTCTCCTTTGGTAGAAAAAAATGAACAATGTCTGGGTCGTGAACTCTGGTGTTAGACTCCATGAGTGTTCCAAAGCTGAGTGACCTTGAATAAGTCAATCAACTCCTTTGTGCCTCAGTTCCCTTGCCTGAAAAATTAATAATAAAGCAATCAAATCACACAGTTCATGCAAAGTACTTAAAAGTTCTGGGCATGTGGCAGGCACCATAAAAGGATTCATTAACTATTTACACTGCTCAAGATCACGTCAAGCCATTCTCATGTCATATCATTTGTTGTTCAAAATGTTAGATAAGCAGGGAGGAGTCTTACGGTTCACAGAGTTCGATTTTCTTATTTTATGGTTGAAGAAACACAAGACCAGGAATGTTGGGTGACGTGTCTAAATTAGTGGGTGTTGTGGATACTTTGTGTCCCATAACTGAACTGCACTCGCCCAGGGGACAGAATCACCTTGGGTTCTCTCTCTCTCTCTGTGTCGGGGGATGGACGGGGGGAGGCTCTCACTTTGTAGTTGCATGATTCCCCAATCATGGGTACCACTAAGAAGGACCGTGTTAGTGCAGCTAGGGCAGGTTTGGCTGGGTTTAAAGGATGGAGGGGCCATGGGCTGGGAAGAATTCTCACATACAGCACTTTGGGTGCTTGAGCCAAAGGCCTCACGGACAAACAAGGCAGCCAGCGTGGGTTCGAAGTAAGTGCCTGTCTCCTCCACACATTTCATCCATCGTGGGTAGACTGGCTGCAGAGACAAAACCGGAATGAGTGACACCTGTGCTAGCCTTTTTTCTTACCTATTTCCCCAGGCCATCCGCTAGAACATGCTCTATACCATACTTTCTGGCTTTCAGTGACTGACTCTGTTGCTTAGTCAAAATAGTATGTGTCCTCTTCCAGAATTGTCCATGAACCTGAATGAGAAACTTGCATCTGTTTATTTCCTTTTGAATTTGAAAATCCAGCTCCTGGGAGTTTTACCTGAGAGGACTGGAAGATTCCTGGGCAGGCAAGGGAGGGAAAAAGAAATCAAAGCTTTCCTACCCTGTCCCCACCTGTCACACACTGAGCGTCAGGATTACTGCAGTGCCTCCCAGAATGGAAAGAAATCAGGGACAGTAATTCTTTCATACCTCCATCCCCTTAAGCCACTCACAAAATGGCTATTATGTATCACACTGTAGAATCTCATGAAGAAAATTATCAAGGCAACACTGAGTAGCTGATGTCCTATTGCTTCCGGAAAAAAAAAAAAAATGGAAGACTGAGTGTGTGATTTCAGAGCTAAGAAACTTACAGCTAAATAAGATCAAGGGGAGAAGACAGAGCGCTTTAATGTGAGCACCAGCAACTGAGGAGGGCAAAGGCAACTGAGGGATATTTCTTCCTCTTGTCTTCCCTCCCTCCTCCCCCCAAAACACGGCAAGACATAAGAGAGAGAAGGAGAGAGAGAGAAGGAGAGAGAGAAAGAGAGAGAGAGAGATGTTGGCAGAGGTTTCAGTGGCAGAACTGGAAGATCCAAGGGAAATGAATAAAGAACAGCTTAAAGGGAAACTGAGATGGGATTTTTAAAACTAGCTAACATGATAACTTGGTTTAGGTGAGATGAAACCAAAAGACTTTTTTTCTGGTAACGTCTACTTCCCAATGATCTGCTGGAAGGGAGGCAGAAGGACTGCCACTAACGTTTTTAGTGTGAGCTGAGTTGGTCTTGAGGTTTAAGAGAGGGTTTGGAGCTGTCCCATCAGAGGAAACAAAAGGGAAGGCCAGTAAGGTGGTGGTTGAAGAATAAATTCTTGAGTCTGCCTGTTGGGAAGTTTCATCATCTTAGAGGTTACTCCAGATCTATGTGACCACATTTGAGTGTTCTGGTCCATGCCATGGGATGCCTTCCCATCTCTCATGATAATAAGAGCTCAGACTCTTTTTATGATGTATGATGAGCTGTAAAACACAACATGAAAAGCAAAAAGGAGTAAAGAGGAATCTAGATCTGATGAAAAGGACAAGGATGGAGACAAATGGGGATGTGCTGAGTACTGTCAGTGTCCTTTCTCCCTCCCAACAAGTTTGGCTCCCCGCAACCTTTCTCATTAAACAATGGCAACATTATGGCTGTGGCCAACAGCAACAGTGAAGAACCCAGCTGAGCTCCTCGTGTGGATCTTCCTGCCCTTCACATGCCTGGTAGTACTTGAGTTATTTCCTAATTCCATTTACTGGTGCCTGATTATTTCTGCAACATACTTTGACCTGGGACCCAGTGTCTGGGAAATGCAGCTACTGCCTCATAACACTACAGTCATCTCTCAAGATGTCAAGTGACAGACTACACCGCATTGATAGAAAGGAGCAATGAAAAATAGAGGGAAAAACACGTCTAAAGTACAGAGGATGGATGACATACTTTAAACACAAAGTAATAAGCCCAATGAGATTAATTCTAGGGTACTAAAATATGTAATAGGAATATAGTAACAAGAATAACAAAAGGATAGAAATAAGGGAATATTCTAGGAGTCTAGAGGGAAACATTTGAACAATCTTCAACAGGGTAAAACAGATTTTAGCAGTTATGTTTCAGCCAGGAATCTCTAATGTCAATGCTTAAGTAACATGATTTTTAAAATTCTAGAATACATTTTAGAAATGAAACAAATTTCTGAACAATTTAAAACATAATATGTACCTACCAATGGCCAGGATGGGTTCACTAAGGACAAATAATGCCAAAGTCAGACAACTTCCTCCAGTTAGGAGGATTATCAAATAGCAGATAGTAGATAAGGTAGGGAAAGAAAAAGCCCAGTGGTGACATAACGGAAGAGTCACAGTTCCACATCAGAATTGTAGAATGCGGTAGACTGGACGTGGTAGGTCTGTTTCAGTCTGAGTTGCACCTATACCATGTAGCCATAGCTAGTAGCTGCCACTGGAAAAGGCTGGCCCCATTCTGCTCCCCACCCCAACACACACGTACACATGGGCTGCAGATCTGAATATTGGCATGCCAAGTCCCAATGTTTGAATGTTGACAATTAATCCAAAATTTGCAAAAGAGTGTAAAGGCCAATAAAATATATCTACACACTAAATTCATTATCTTTGGCCACTATGACATTATCACTTAACAGAGAATTCAGCATTGACTATATGTGAGTTTTTCACTTAAACCCTTTGTTCCGATTATACCAGCTACAAAAATGAGAATACCTATTTTATCTTCCCAGAGATACGGATGAAATGATTGAGAGTATTCTATATATGCTATAATATTTCTATGCTCTGTTAACATTATCTTTATTTTAGGAAGACTTTTCATAAAACCACAAACTTAGAGTGCATTAAATGGAAAAGTCAATGTTGAATGATAACATAGTTTGCTTGAACCATAACTAAACATCAAGGATGAATGACTTAAAGTCATGTGACTTCTCCTGGCCTTTGTACTAAGAATGACAACTGCTCCCCATCTAGAATTTCCTCATTTTGCATTTTGCATTCTTCATTCCATCACCTATGTCATTTAGCATTTATCTTCTTGAAATAGCATATAAGTGCTTAAAGACAGAAATATTTACCATTTGGTTCACTGCTTTATCCCAAATGCCAAGAGCAGTGTCTGGGATAGATTAAAAAATACTCAATAAATACCTTTTGTGCAAATGATAAATGAACCTACAGCAAAGTTTTCACTAATATGCCATGATGCTCTTCTCCCCTTCAAGGTCTTAATAGTCTGGATGAACATAAATGTAATGTAATAAATTTTATTCAGTAAACTGAATAAAATTGTAAATGATCTAGAGCCAGAAACCAAAAGTAATAGAAAGGATGATTAAAACAAAGGTTAAAATTTCCTGAATAAACTAGGATGATGGTTGAAAATAAATGGCTTCCATTTAACTGGCACAAAAAAGTCTAGCTGTCAATTTCTATAACTCAGTTTCATGAGTTCAGTTAAAAAACTGGCTTGATGTTGTTTTCATTGACTATATATTCAAAATTAAAGCACAAAACCCAGTCAGATGATGAGATTGCGCAGTCTTTCAAGTTAGAATTAAATCAGAAGAAAATGAACAAAAGTCTATATTCATAACCCTTGCCTAGAACTAAAAATGTTGACCAAATCAAGGGCAAAACCTTGGTGTTGTATTATTCCTCTTAAATCACATTGCCATTCTTCTGAAATACATAAGAGACACATTGTGCGTATGCCTATTTTATACAGAGAAAAACTGAAGTCCTTATAGTGTCCTACCAGATGCTACAAGTTTTTTTCCTCCCCTCTCTGATTTATGCCCTACTATATTTTCCACTCTGTTCTAGTTGCCCTGGATCCTTTGCTAGAACAAGCAAACATCCAGTGCATGAACCAGCAAGCAGCAGCACTGGGCACAGTTTTGTACATAAGCTAAGTCATCTTGTCTCAGCCAGAGCCGTCAGTAGATGTCCTTATACTGCAACAAGATACAGCTATCCTGCCCTGTGTCCTGTCTCATTGCAACAAGTTTAATGTTCCCATATACTGTTCCAATGAAATGGATGATACCAGTTCCTCAGCCAGAAAATCGCTTCCTCTCACTAAACATTCCTCCTGCACAAACAAACCTTCCCTGATATTTCCTTCATAGGAGCACCAAGAGTTTCTGTTTTGTCTCAGCAAGAATTCTATGCAGTCATAGTTTAGCACATTAACTTACTTTAGTGTATAGCTGCTTTTGTGTTTACCAAGCTAGGCATGTTTATCATATTACCCCTTTATAGAAAGATTTGCTAACCCATTGTGGCACACGTTATTTCTCAATCCCGTACAGTGTATGTGTTAAAACATGACCTCATGAACTAAACAAATCTAGTTTTGGCATTTGTTGCTTTGTTTTTGAACTATCTTGGGGAAGTTATTTGACTTCTGTAAGGAGATTTTTGCACTTGCAAAATGGAGAGGAAAACCCTTAGTGTTGTTGTGTTAAATAATCCATGTTAAATGCTGACAAACAGTGACTACACTGATTACTTAACATGCATCAATTGCTAACGTTATTCTTATGTGTCATATTGTATACTGTTGTTGTGGAGGGCAAAGTGGCTTCCGCAAAGTCACACAATTACTTGTTAACAGAGTTTGATTGAGTTTAAGCCCGAGGACTTTTATGTACCTTAATGGAAAAGATAATGACTTCAGGCTTTGTAAGTCTCTACATTCTTTGCGCATGAGTCTCAATATTGGCACATCTATGCCCTCCATGAGGTGCCGTCAGGGTATCATGCTGAGATTTACAGGAGGCTGTTTGTGGTCACGAATGTTAAAACAATTCCTTACTCTCCACAAGAGGATCTGGGGCCTGTTCTGCCTGCTCTGAATCAAGCAACAGGCTTGGCAGAAGTTTCTTTTGGAATTATCTTCAAAAAAAATTTTTTTAAGGTCCTAAGCAGGAATAGTTTTTAGTACAGCGAGTAAGCATTGAGAAGCTTAGAGCCACACTACCAGAGTTCAAATCTTCATTTTACCAATTTACTAGCTCTGTTAGCCTCTGTGGCTGTGATGCAGTTCCTTCACCTTTGAACTTCAATTTCCTTGTCCTTATAACAAGGATAAATTAGTGGTCACGGAACATGAGGCATTCTGAGGATCAAGATAGTTTCTAGACTGAAGAATTTAGGAAATGTCTGACACATTGTAACTTCTCAATAAACCATAACGACATTTCCCCTCTCTGAATTCTATAAGTTAAGCTGATAATGTGGAGTTTCTCCAAGGCAGAATCATGGTCTGTAAATTACAAATTACCAAGGGGGAAAAAATCCCAATGATTTTCAGACTAAACTGATCCCTTACTATGGTAGACATGTAGTAAATGCTTCGGATGTGTCTGACATAGAATTTCAAGATTCTGAGTTAGGAAGTGTCTTTCCATCTTGGACAACATGCTAGATACTGAGTAAATAACGAAATCCTCAGACATGGAGGGACCTCTACCCTCATCCCGCCTTTTCCAATGATAGAGATTTACCAACATTCACCCCAATCCGGGAACACCCGCTTCTCTGCTCACCAGAGGTGGTCTCTCCGTCAGCTCCCGCAGTTTCTCGTTCAGTGATCTGCGTGCCTCCTGGAATTTACTGTCTAGGGCTGGAGAAAGAGTCCCTACCAGCCCCAGGATCATGTGGCTTTGAAGAAAGTCCCTGTGAATACAAAATAAAACAAAAGCATAAATGAAAAATTAAAAATTTAAAAAGGCCCCATATATGGCCGTCCGCAAAAGCTTCCCCTTAGGCAAGCCACCTTGATCCTCCTGGAGGCAGCCCTGCTTCCTACATGTGAGAAAGGAATAACAGTTTCGACACACAAACCAGCCAAGAGGAGCTTTCTTTGGTGTGGGGTAGGGTGGGTTCAAAGAACGATAGAAGGAAGTAAGTAGATAAAAAGGCTGCCTTCTCAAGTGACAGGGAGAGAAGGACCTAGGCCAGGTTATAGCTGGATGACTCAGATTTCACAAAACAGTTCTATCCAGCTTCAAACTCAGATATTTCAGTGTGTGTCAAGAAGTGTCTCCTAGTGCCACAATGTTGGACTCTGTATGGCTTCTCCCTGCTTTGCTGACAAGCCTCGCCAGGTCTGTCCCCACCCCTCTTGACTCCCTGCTCCCATCAGAACAGTCTCAGAAAGCTCCAGAGCCCATTCAGCACCACTGGGAGATGGCCTCTCCCACAGTTCCCCCGCCCCCAGCATCCCTGGCTCTCATTGGCTCCAGTTTTCTATCCCACATGCCTCCATTCCTACCCACAGCACTTGGCTAATGGAAAGACATAAATACAGTTTCCCACAGTAACTGTTCTCCCTGCATACTTAGTTGTCTGCCCCATTGTGCCACCCATCTCATTCCCTCTCTGCCCCAAGATGTGGTCAGGGCTTCTCATCTTTCTGAGAGTCGCTTCCTGGCTCAACTCCTGCGAGCTCTGAGGTCACGGGCCTTCTTCCCATCTCCTTCTCCCCACAGCCCACCGGGGCATACCTGTTCTTCAGCAGCAGCTCTTCCACTAGATGTGACATATTCTTCACATACTCCAGGTCGTGGACCACAAGGGGCTGTGAGGGGCTCAAGGACATGGGTGTGAAGGTTGCTTGCAGGCAGGACAACCAGTCGATGGCAGGGGCCATTTCCTTATAGGAGGGACACAAAGCTGAGGGGGCAAAGAAGGGAGGAGAGAAGGAAGGCGAAAGGGCTTCCTCGTGGGTTTGAAAGAAAGTGGTCACAGATGTGGCTCAGGTGGAGAACGGAGACAAAGAGGATGGAAGGGAGATTGAGGGCATGATGAGCAAAAGGCAGAGGAAAGAAAGTTTGGAGAAAGACCTTCACGCCCACAGTCCCCACCCAGGACCCCCAGTTCTGGGCACCTGTAGTTGGCCAATGGTGACTGTCTGGAAGAGGTTGCCCTGTGCCTGCCGCTGCTCCAGGGGTCTCAGAAGCTGGAACAATTGTGAGGTGATGGTGATGGACAAGGCAGCATGTTGTTGCACCTTTAAAGGGTCTCCTCCCAGCAACGTTCCCAGCTGATTCAGGTAAGTCAAATACTCCCGCACGATCTGGGAGAAGGCAACCTCAGTCACAGGGTGCAGAGGCCCCTGGCTTTTTCCTGATGTCCGAGGGCAGGGCCTCTCTGCATCTCACCTGCGCGTAGATCTTCTGTTCCTGTTCTTGCTTGAGAGGCGCGTCAAACTCTGGTTGGTCTATCTGGACACAAGAGAGGCTGGAGAGAAGTGGGGAGCATGGGGGACAAGGAGGGCAGGTGTGGGGAGTTGGGGAAGGGAACTGAGAAGACGGCGTCTGGAGATGAGAATAAAGAGCAGACCAACAAGGAGCGAGAGACAGTCTCAACATGCGAATGCGAAGAGAAGAGTGGGGATGACACGACATTTGGGGGTACTCAACAAGGCAGCAGGATAACAATCAGTGTCCAGAAGAGGATGACTCCTTATGCCCAAGTCACGTCTAGCATAAGGGAAGTGAGACACCCTTCCTAGGTTCAAAGTATAAGAGGTACCAAAAGATCAGCAAAATAAACATATTATTTTGAAAAGAAAAATTAATGCAAAAGTCCACATCAAATAATAAAACTTTATTTATTAGGGATTTCTCCCAAAAATTCATAATGTATTTTGATCCACTTTGAGAAACAATATATATTTTCAAACATTGCTTCAATAGTTTTGATTCACCTTAAAAAAATCATTTTTAAGTAAGCAGAATCTTTGATCTGATTCTTAAAGATCAAGAAACAGATCAAAGTTTTTAAAATGTCCACAATGGGCCCCGGTGCCATGGCCTAGCAGCTAAAGTCCTCACCTTGAACACCAGGGATCCCATATGGGCACTGGTTCTAATCCCGGCGGCCTCACTTCCCATCCAGCTCCCTGCTTGTGGCCTGGGAAAGCAGTCGAGGACGGCCCAAAGCCTTGGGACCCTGCACCCGCGTGGGAGACCCAGAAGAGCTCCTGGCTCCCGGCTTCGGATTGGCACAGTACCGGCCGTTGTGGCTACTTGGGGAGTGAATCATGGGACGGAAGATCTTCTTCTCTGTCTCTCCTTCTCTCTGTATATTTGCGTTTCCAATAAAAATCAATACATCTTGAAAATGTCCACAATGGAATCCCATCCTATTTTGGAAAATTTTTTTTTAAAAGTACTGCTTTTGAAAAAAAATTTTACAGTGAACTAAAATATAATATTTTGTCCATTATAGATTTTTTACACTTTTTTTTAACCTTTAAAGGTACTATATTTTAATACCATTTATGTCAATACAGAGTTTTGGCAAAAATTTTTTTTAATTTTTTTTTTTTAAATTTTGCATCTCAGTCAAGTGCCCACACATCTCATTTGTTCTGATTTTAGAGTAATCTGATTTCATCCTGAAGACTCTTGGTCCTCTACTTGCTTTTTCTCCACCTTAAGTATCCCACTTCCACGTGGAGCTAAGTACTTTTACTCTACCTTGTAAAAATTTCCACTTGACATATTATCACATTGTATGTCTGAAGTTTAAAGAATGAAACTATGTCAAGGTCCATTGTTTCAACATCGTTACCGTTCTCCTGAGCTTTGTAAGTCTGAGTCCATTTTGATAACTTTTTTCTATCTCAGGGTTTCCAGGGCTGTCTTCATATTCCTTATTTTCTGAGCTCAGAAACCTCTGGAATCAGCAATGGCTCCTCCTTCCTGAAGTTGCTTCCTTTCCTTTGGGTCCACCCCTTCATGCCAATCTCACTGCCACCACCCAGACCATTCCCAATCTTCTGGAGCACTGGCCCTGTCTCTGTATCCTTCATTGAGTGCTTCCCCAAAGCCCATTTTTTTTTTCTATTTGTTCTTCCCCCACGAGCTCACCCAGGCTCCAACTGATGGTAACCATATTCCTTCCATTCATACCAAGTCATAGTTATGGGGTCATATGGTGATTTCTGCATCCCCTTCTATTAAAGTCCTCTGAAACGTAACAGACCATCATGATAATGATCAAGTCCCTAAATGCTCACATCTGGCTTTTCCTTTCCATTTCTACCACTATTTCAGGACCTTTCAGCTTCCTCATTCCTAAGTTGACCTCTGAAATTAAAGCTACACACACACACACACACACACATACCATAATGTTTGAACAACTTCAGAAATGCCTTTTCTCTATATATATAGCAGTTATCATCTGTACCTGGATTTTTCAGCCAAAATAACCAGGCCCAAATGCCATGTCTTCTGCCTGATTTTACCTTCTACACATTCCACTTTATGTCAAATTCTTATTTAAACAGACTAGCCTTTTCACTGACACCACAAAGAAACCACATCACTGCAAGCTCTCAGTTCAAACTTTGCTCACATCTTCACAGCATCTTTTAGGCTCACCTTCACCAGTGGAATCAACTGTGGAATCAAGCATCCTCTCTGAGATTTTTTTTAAAGCAGTCCAGATCTTAACAAACCTCCTAAGGCCCACATGAGTTAAGCCACTGAGCACACTCTTTAAAATTAAATTTCAGCATCTCTCATATAGAATGTTCTTCTACATTCACCTTATTATAATATTGTGAAATTTTGAGAGCAGGGACCAAATAGCTAGTATCACATTGCCTATCCCAACAGCATTTTTTTCTCACTCAATACACATCTGGTTAGGGCCCCTAGTTTCCTGGACATTCACCTTCGTCCTGAGAACAAAGGTGAATAGAGTGCGGTCCTGGTCTGAGGAGGCCTACGGTCATCAAGATAGAGCACGAATTGCTGAAGGCATAAGGAAATGAAGAGACAGGACAGCTTCACCTAACTCCAGACTGGAGTATCCATGACGACTTCTTAAGGAGATTGGGACTGACGTCAGCATTGAAAGAATATGCAAGGGCTTCCAGACCGAGTGTGGGGGACTGTTGCCAGCAAAGGGAGAAGCACATGCGAAGAAAAGACGTATATTTTTAAAGTGCCAATGAGCATAGGTGAGGGCACAAAGGAAAGAAGGGATGTGGCAGGAGATAAGGCTGAAGTATACAAGGACCAGATCATAAAAGTTCTGGCAAGCCTTTGCTAAACATTAGAGAGTCAATCCTGTTGACCTACCAAATCATCAACAGCTTTTAAATAGAGATAATACCTTAAGTAACTCTTCATGTAAAATATTCCTGAGAGGCCAGCATAGTGGCATACAGCTAGTCCTCCGATTGTGGTGCTGGCATCCCATATGGGCACTGGTTCTAGTCCCAGATGCTCCAGTTCTGATTCAGTTCCCCATTAATGTCCTGGGTAAGTGATGGAGGATAACCCAACACTTTGGGACCTTGTACCCATGTGGGAGACGCAGACAAAGCTCCTGGATTTTTGACTGGTACAGCCCTGGCTGTTGAGACTGTTCAGGTAGTGGGTGGAAGATCTGCTTCTACTCATGTCTCTGTGCCTCTACCTTTCCAGCACCAAAATAAAAATAAATCTTTAAAATAATATTTCTACTGTAAAACTAAATAGTAAATGAGACTAGGGCAATACTGGAGCTTGGAAGGCTAGCTAAGAGGTTCTGGGAATGATTTAAATCAGCAGTAAGGAAGACTGAATCCACTACAATCCTCTGAAATGGCCCTGTGCTTGGTTTCCACCCTCACCTGGCTTCTCTGACTCTCATACTAATAATTTTCCCTGCAGGTACGAATATGGTCTACAATGTACATTGTACATTGGAATATGGTCTACACTGTACATTGTACCCAACATGCCCCTTTCCTATAAGAGATGATAGCTTAGAGTTCAAGGAGGCCCAGGTCCATATGTGGTTTTGCCAGTGCATTCCTCACCTGGATAACTGGTGTGTGTGGAGGGGCCGGATGAGGTCGTAGATAGGCTCTGAAAAATGGAAAGTGTCCATACCGACTCATTAGGAGCTTCAGAGTTTGGTTAAAGTCTAAGGAAGTCCAATTGCCAGAGATGCGCCAGCCTCCAAGCTGAGAAGAAAGATGGGGTGAACAGGTTGGTCTTTGAGATCTAGCCACCTCCCCATCCCCTGCTCCCAGTCCTGACCTTGCCCTCTCACATAGCAGATAGCCCCTGATTCCTGAGCCCATGTGTTCCACCATGGCTGTACATCAATTCTGCTTTCTCTGTCCTCAGCCAAGTTCCTGAGCCTTCCACTGGGCATTGACATATTCTGTTTCCATCCTAGAACTTGAGGACCCCTTGGGAAGAAGATCTAACCCCTAGAAAAACCTGGAAGCCCAAGCATGCATTATTTGTCCTCTACAATATGTATCCAGAAAAGTCATTCCCCCTACTTTCCTCACCTCTTCAATAACTTGTTTAAGGGGGCCAGCTCCTGCGTCTTCAATGGCCTGAGTATCCATACAAGAACTATAGAATCTGAAGGCTTTTTCCTCCCCAGAACCTGGATCCCAGGAACCTGGGGTCTCTAGAAAAAAAAAAGTTTTGGAGAATTAAAGAACTGGAAGCTGGTATGCAGACAAGCAAAGAAGCAAAGCTCATGGGGATACAAAGGAGAGGCAGGAAAATTGGGAAGATGAGAATTTAAGGGAATTAACAAATTGGAACTTATTCAAAGGGAAAGGTCAAAGGGAACAGAGTAGTCACGGATAACAAGAAGAGAAAGAAAGGTGGGGGCTAGGGATGAATAGAAAGACCAAAAGGCACAAAATAAAGGAAGCGTTTGAGGTGACAATGATTAGTGATAAAGAAGCAAACCCATGCAGTGCCGTGAGAAGCCCACTGAGCTTGGGTCAACCACTTGTTGCACAACTCCAGCATTTGGGGCAGTCATAACTGTTCTAGGCTTAGAGGCAATCATTTGCACACAGAATTGTCTCAGCCTACTTTCCTCACCTAAAATTCTCCTGAGTCGGCTCTTGTTTTCCTCTGCAAGATCCTGAAAAGGATTGTTGTCGCCAGTGGCCCTTCCGCAGGCCAAGCTGAAGAAGTCAGTGCAAGGGTCCACACTGCTGTTCCCAGAAGCCACATAACGGGCCAGGAGATCCAAACACACAGGTGTGTCACAGGGGGCTGTGGGCAACATCTCGAGTTAAGGGGAAAAGAGATGAGGGCTCCCCCTAGGGGTTGGCATAGGAATGACCAATGAGAAACAAAGCCCTGGGAACACTGGTGGACTGATGGCCAGGAGTGAGATGGGTCACTTCAGGGGATGTAAGGGTTCCGATGAGCAGCTCGTAAGTCAGCTAAGCAGCTAGTAATAATTTTGAGGCGGGAGTATGGGCAGCGATCCCTGGCTGAGGGACTGCCAGTTCTGTTGGGGTTTGTGGGATCTTGCTTACGAGGGCCGCAGTTCCGGAAGATGAAGACCAAAAGCACCGAAGACCCAAGGAGCAGGCTGACAGTGAGGACGGCGAGCAGCACCCGTCTGGCTGGGGCCCACTGTCTGTTCCTTTCAGTGGGCTGTCCCTCATCTGCAGAGCTCTGTGGGAGGAACAGGGAGAAGGGAAACACTAAGTGGAGGGGTTGAGAGGATGGGAAGGGGGTGGGGAGGAGGGGACAAGAAGGAGAGAACAGCCAATGCTCAGAGCCCCTGGCGTAGAGTTCATTCTGATTCTCCCTCAACCCAGTCCTATCAAGACCCACCGGAAGAAAAGAAAACGAGGATTTGCCACTTGCCTTGGATGAGACGCAAGCAATGCGCGTTTGCAGGATATCAGAGCTAAAAAGGAACGGACCCCAACATGTCACTCACCTCCTGACTCCAGCGAGTCCCCATTCTGCTGGCTTGGCTGTGTCCACTCGGCTCTCCCCCACTTTGGTCTCCACCCTCCTGAAGTGAACTGAAGAGGAAGGAGGAGGGGAGAGAAGCTGGTTCAGAAAGGGGGGTGCATTAAAGAGTTTTATCAGGCCGTCTTGATACCTTCCCTACCCACCCCACCCCATTTTCAATGCAGAGCAGTGTTTCTGGACAGCCTTCTTGAAGGACCCACTCCCCTGCATGTATATATCCACTCCCACCTTTTACCTCCCTCTCTTTTTGCCCCTTCTTTCTGCCTGAAGCAGGGCATATGCACCCCCATCTGACTCCTCCCCTGAGGACTTGCCATCGGTCCTTCACTTTGGCTCCCTGAGTCCTTCCTGGTTCAGGGCTAGGGGCTGATTCTGAGGACTAGGGCTCAAGAAACGCACTGCTGCCAGCTACCACACCACTTCCTTGGTCCTGGCGAAGGGGCACTGCTGACATTCTTGCCCTGTCCCCAAACACAGACTATTGGCCTCTGGGTGTTGCCCACTTATCAGCGGAGAGACACCAGGCTTCTCCTCCTTGTTTATCTCAGCACCTCAGGGCAGAAGAGGGAGGAGTCCTCATTTCCCAGCAATCTTGCCCTAGGTCTGCTCCTCTTGTCCTGCTCTATGTCTTGCTCAGGAGGTGCCTCTACTTCTAGAACATTCTTCTTTCCTTTCTTCTCTGATAGAAATCTCTTGGATCTTTCAATTCCTAGGTCAAATACCACCTTGCCCAGGAGGCCTTGGGGCTCCAAGCCTATTCACATTGTTCCCAGGCATGCTTAATTGATTTTCTAGGTGTTTCATAGCCCAGTTGGTTGCATGCATTAAAAGGATCACCCAACTAGGAGACCCAAATTTGCTAATTATTAGCTCTGTGACAATAAACAAGCTGCTTGAACTCTCAGGTGGGTAAGCAAACTTTGTCATCTGGAAAGTGAAGGTAATATTTTGCTATGCCTGCCTCTCAGGGTTTCATAGCTTCTACAGAGACAAAAGGGGCTCTGTGTTTTGTTCAACTGTGGCTTTCATCTTCAACTATTGACTGAAAACTGTTTCATGGCAGGCACAGAGTTCCTTCCTTCATGTCCTTCCAAAAAGTTTTGTCTGTGTTAGTAGGAAACAAATTGTATTCCGAGCCAGAAAGTTTCCCTCATTCTACTGAGCCCTTGCTCACAGCATCAGTGAAACAAGTATGCTTTGGGGAGCAAGCATTTCACCTCTGTTCCTGTCTCCTCACTAGGATTGTCAGTTCTGTGCTCGGCTCTGGTATGTTGCTTGGGATGAGGGTGGTCCTGGAAGTTCAGCCCCATAGTTACAGAAGTAGAACATAGCTGCTGGGTTGATTGGGACTGTGTTAGAGACTCGTGATAGTCATTGAAGGAAAGTCGGAAGTTCACACATTAGAAAACAAGGCTCTGTGAGAAATAAAGCCTTGCAGGAAGGTTGTAAGAAGAAGAAATAATATCTAAGAAAAGTTAGTGTGGTGCTAAAGAACTGGCCTGATCTGATAAAAGACTAGAGGTGGTGGCTACTTTGATGTTACAGGAATAGTGTTGGGACCATGGTAGCTGGGGCGGAAGTGCAAAGAGAGGAAAATTTTTATGGGAGAAAATTAAGTCATAGAAACAGAGGGAAGGAGAGAGAGGGCTGGAATAGAAACACAGGTGAGCTTTAAGTTGATGCCAATGATGGAGAAAGTGGAATTTGGGCTGAGGGTGGGGAGGGTCAGCTGCAGGTGGAAGCAATGCAATGGAACTGCTGAGGGTTTTGGTTTGCATGGCTCCGTGCCACTCATGCCTTTCTCCTACACTACCTCTGCCCCAGAAAGTCTGCTGCTCCACCCAGGAACTTTTGATTTCCTTCACAGGGACTCTCTCCCTTACTTATTTTTCCACAGTCCAGCCCCCTGAATTGGTGTTTTTCCAGGAACGTGACCACAGGGACAATTCAGAACTAGGTAACAAGCTGAGGCTGCAATATGCTGTGTGACATTCACTACAGTTGACATTCACAGAGAAGCTGAGCAACCACAGAGCTGCCCAGTTCAATCCTCCTGTGCAGTTGCCTCCCACAGGCAAAGGAGACTCTATTCTAGGAGCTGCCTCCTCTCCCTTCTTATCTCCCTAGGCCTACCCTGCATTGAGTCATCACCCCAGCCATACCTAGTCCCCTCAGCACAGCTGCCCTCCCTCAGATCCAGGCAACATAGAGAAGCTAGTCAACAACCACAGGTTCTCAAGCAGGCACCAAGAGTATCTTTTCAGGTGGCAGTATCTCTTAATGGCTTTAACTGTGCTATCCCATCTGTTCTAATTCTAGGACCTTTTGTTTGATACTATGCTATCATAACAACAATAATAATAGTGATCCTCGTGTGTTTTCTAGAGTTCTGGCTAAGAGGCAGAATTTAAGATCATGTTTTCCTATAAAGGATCTTTATAGGAAGACTTGGGCCAACGTTCATGAGAAAATTTGAGACTCATTAATAGGACAAAAAGTGGTGGCCCTTATTGTAGGCTCTGTAAGTGTTGTAAGACATCTCAGTCAGCCAAATGGAAAAGTGACATTATCTCTTCTGTGAACCTTTAAGCCAGCTTATGTACTCAAATGCTCAAAATGTCACCTTACCTTTGCAAAAGCAAGAATCCTTCAGATGCAAATAATTTTCCTATTGACCTTGACCATTCTATCTTTTCTAGTTTGGGTTCTTATTCTTGATTTTTTTTCCTTCTGCTAGTCCCAGCCCTATCTTTCAAACTTGTTACTTTAATTTTATTATGCAGATTGAGATGCATATATACTATGCATTCTGACTTAAACTCACACCTTGGATCCTTAACTTCTGGTAGATCAACATAAGGTTTCATAGTCAGGGTTTCATCTACAGATCATTATTCTCAAGTCCCCATATTGGTTGGCTAAGTCTCCAAGCAGGCCCTAAATGGAAATTAGCAGGGCCAGAAATCTCTAGGGCATTAAAAATAGAAAGGCTCAAAATTAAGGATGAGTTTAGACACTAATACATCAGCAAGATATGTTGAATTCAAGAATTATATAAAAAATGAATCTGGTAGGAGTTGGCAAGAAAATAAGGCTCAGGAAGATGTTTAATCTTAGAATGTGGAGAAATTAGCATAGATTGCTGTCAGCTATGTCTGTTCTCTTTGGAATTCAAAGAATCACACTTATGCCTGGACTGGTCCACCGATTCTCAGAACATCTGTCACCGGTAGTATTTATTAGCTACTGACTGATAGTGTTGGCGCAAAGAAAAGGGAAGCTTTTTTAAATACCAAAAAAAAAAAAAACCCTAACAAAGCATGTTTCTAAATATTTATTCTCAGGATAATCATTTCATTTTTTAATCTATAATTTTTATGTAATTCCTTAGCTGGCACTGCAAGAAAATGATTAAATAAGGAATATGGTTCTAAACAATTCTGTAAAGAATTATATTAATGTATCAATTACAAGTAAAAGAAGCCTGTTGTAACAAGACAAATACCGTATGATTCCACATATATGAAGAACTTAGAGCCATCAAATTCAACGACAGAAGGTAGAATGATGTTGACAAGGGTTTGGATAGAATAAAAATCTAATAGATTTTTAGTTTCATAAGACTTTTGGGAATTACATAACACTAAATACACTTAACACTACTGAGTTGCACACAACAAAATGGTTAAATGGATGCATTTTCTGTTGTTTATGTTTCTATCACAATTATGTTATTTTTTTTTTCATTAACCACAGTCACATCTCCAAATCCAGAAGCTGTTACTTTATGTCTGCATTCCTTTCCTATCTTCACCTCAAATTCAGTTCTTTAAGGCCCAAATCTCTGAAGCCTCATATTCTCTCTCTCTCTCTCTCTCTCTCTCTCTCTCTCTCTCTCTCTCACTCACTCACACTCACACACACACACACACCCTCTTCATCCAAAAAGACTACTTTTTGGGTTGCAATATTCTGTCTCCTTGATTTTCTTTTTTTTTTTCTGGAAATGTTAAGAGAGAGACAATTCTGTTTTTTCTTCTCCCCTCTTTCTTGCATCAGGATGATTCACAGACCTCTTTGCATCTCCCCTGGACACGTCTTCTCTGTGGCCAAGCCTCCCTTCACCAATAGTGTCACTAAATGTATCCAGAGTCAATGACAGATAGAAGTTATGTAACCTAGTGTTAACAGCAGGAGAGAGGAATCTAAACAGCCCTAAGCTGATTGGAATGTAGATTCTGTCAGTTGCTGCTGCACATATAATCTCGAGAAAGTCTCCAAATCTTTCTGGACCTCGCCTGTCCTGATATGTAAAACAATATAAGCATGCTTTCTTTATCATGACTGACATAAAGACTACATAGTGTGCCTTTTGCCCATCACTTTGCATATTACAAGCAAACAACCAATGATGGCCATCAACACTTGTAAGGTGTTTTAAGAATTTCCAAGGGCAGGTCCAACTTTGTAGCCTGGTGGCTAAAATCCTCTCCTTACACGTGCTGGGATCCCATATGGATGCTGGTTCTAATCCCAGCACCTCCACTTCCCATCCAGCTCCCTGCCTGTGGCCTTGGGAAAGCAGTTGGGGATGGCCCAAAGCCTTTGGACCCTCACCTGTGTGGGAGACCCGAAAGAAGCTTCTGGCTCCTGGCTTCAGATCGGCTCAACTCTGGCCATTGCAGCCATTTGGGGAGTGAACCAGTGTATGGAAGATCTTTCTCTCTGTATCCTTTTCTGTGTATCTGCATTTTTAATGAAAATAAATAAATCTTGAATAATAATAATAATAAAACATAAAGAATTTGTAAGAGCAATGCAATACTAGGAACCATCCATGTGTTAAGGATTAAAGATTGTTAGCCTGCATTTTCAGCCCTTGCTTTGTGCAGCAACTCAATGAACTATTCAATAAGGCCAAAAATTCACTGAGAATTTGAAGATATTGGAAAATGTGGATTTAGAGATAGGAATACCATAGATTTCCTATACCTCATCATGAAGTGTGTTTACCTGCCACTTCAAGTTGGATGAAGAGGTGCAA